CCACACATGATGCCCACACATGCTCTGTCTCTCCACCGAGCATCGCCGTTTCTGGATGACGTAACCATAAGTCAAGCTGTTGAGAAAAACGCCAGGGAGCTGGAGGCCACGTTCAAGAACAACGACATGTGCTTTAACCGGAGAGCGGACAGGGGAGTGTGGGAGACGTGCTATCAGAATAGAGCTGTTGTCATCGCCTTTAAGATCTCTACATGAGACAAATAAACGTTCCACAATCACAAACAACATCTGGTATTGAACACATGAAAACAACCCCCAGCACGCATGTGAGGTCCCGGTAATAACAGTGCGAGGATGACAACATCCGCCGCTTTTGTCAACTGCTTGTGTCAGAGCATGCAACACCCATACACACTCTTGTCAGTATCAGTGTGAGAGTTAGGGCTCTGCAAACTGAGCATCACAAACATCGACTTTGCTAACAGACGTCAGCAAAGCCCCTGACTCACCCTCCTCGCTTTCTCACACGCATAGCACTTCCAGCTAGTCGTCAAACTCTCCCAAACAATGGCCAACCCAAAAAAAAAAGACCGGCCTTATAAACCTCTCCCCCCCAGCATGCGCCTCTCAGTTTGGGGTGAGCATCTGAAAACAGGGACCCTATTCACCGAGATCACTCTGTGTTTGATAGGCCAATAAATATTTGAGTGGGGAACAGCTCTCTGAAGAGATGTTTTATGGTGCCAAATAACAACACCGTCTTCCAGTCTGGGCCTTTTGCGCAGCACAGGAGTCTCTAGAAAATGAAATGTTATGGGACTGGGACTTGTAGGGGAAACAGAAGCTTAAAGTAAACATGGCCGTGCCCAACCTTGTGCTCTCTTTTATCACCTCCTCCTGCAAACACACAAGTTGCGTGCGCGTGTGTGATTCGTGTTTGCGACTCAGTGGTCCAGCTTTCCCTATGGTCCGACGAGCACTTCCCTCTGACAAAGCCCCGAGTCTCATTCCCCCTCCTCTCACAAGATAAGCATTTCCAGCTGGTTTCACAAACAGTACAAATGAGATTCAAAGGGTGCCACAGACTGTGTCTTTCTCTCGTTTTCTCTCCTTCTCTCTCTCTCTCCCTCATTCCCTCTTTTTACTTCTCACAGTGACTAGCCTTGTCTCATGAGACAGGGTAGCTAGGGAAACTAGGCCACAGACTGGCCCGTTGGGACCGAAGAGTCCAAAACACAGCTCAGCTCAGCTCAGCTCTGAGAAGCTCCTGTTACACTTGAACTGTACATATAGTAGCCTGGCTACTACTCAACAAGCCTACCTATAGAGCTGGACTGATTTGAGAGCTCATGTTACAATACTAAGCTACTCTGTGCAAGCAATAACTGCGCATTAGGAGTCCAAGATGCATTAAAAACATATTACTGTATAAGAAGAGCGGACCATTAATTCACTGTCTCTAGGCTCTGGAGAATTCTGCCTGGGAGTGTATTTTCTCACATTAGCCCGCTAAGCACAATTATTTGTTTTTAATGTGTGTTTGTGTGTTTTTTAAGGAATAGTTTGACATTTTGCTGAGAGTGAGATGAGAAGATTGACACCATTCTTAAGTTTGTGTGTTAAGTATGGGGCTACGGTATCAATCTTCTCATCTACAAGAAAGAAAAAATCATTATATTTCCAAAAATACCAAACTATGTATTTAATAATTATGATAAGATATGTGTCCCTCTTTCACATGGGAGGTTTGAGAATTGAAATTGAAACTGAAATTGTGTTTGTGGTGCTCGTATTGACAACCTTCAACAGCAATGTGTCAGCCCTACAACGCCTGGTTACTCTGGATAATCCACTGACCACACTGTTAGACATTTCCATAGGGACTATTTCTTTGGTAAGCCTATACAGTTGTTCCTGCTAACTCTGGATTATCAAGAGTAAACAAGATTGTTTCTGAGACAGAGATGTTGCCTGTTATATTATTCTTCTATAAGCTTCTGTCCAAAATTGTTGAAAATATCTCAAAACCTAGACAATAATCTGCAGGGGAATAACATGTTTTATCATTTGGGTGAATCTTTTCATACAACTCTCCACTGTGACTTCTGTTAAAAAGGTCAGATGGTCGTCCCTGAAATCCAGAAGCATTAGAGCCTGCCTGCTATGAGATACTTTGGACTGATAACTCTGCCGATTTTAGAGGAGTAAAACTCACAGATTACCAATATGGAGGCCAATATATTGAAAAATATCAGCGCATATATGCATATATGCCGATATGATCCCAATATGTCTGCGACTGCGATAAGCCAATATTGCCCGACTGATAAACCGATATATTAGTCGGACTCTAATCTGCATACTTATATTTTCATTCCCTTAGCCCTCTAAGCTCTTTGGAAAGAAAAACACACACGAATGGTTTTCTTCTTAACACTTAAGTAGGTTTAGGTCACCTACAAGGTTGAATCCCCAACCAGGCAAAGTGGACATGTACCATAGGGCCAGAGCCAATCAGGGGCCCTTTTACTAAACTAGTTTAATTTGTTGTAATTTGAATATGTTTGGGAATATGCACCACTAAAGCACTACAGAAGAACATCAACTAAAGTGCCCTGAGGCACATTTTGCATCATTACCTTACCTTAAAGCCATGTCAACATAAAGACCATTATTATTACAGCTGATATCATTGATACACGGCAGTAAATTAATTTGTGTTTAATCAAGTAAACACAAACTAATTGGCACACAGCAAACCTGAGGGCAGGTATGATTCAGTATGGGAGTACTGGTTGGTTTCAAGAGCTCCAGGCAAACTATAATTAAGCTGCCATGTGGAGTCTGCTGTGTGCACTGTACTTGATGGGTACTTGAAGGCAACAAAGAACATACACAATACCCAGTGAATGGGAGCAAGGGGGTTTGGGGTTGTCAGTCGGCGCCTACAGCTCACATTGCCCCAGGGCTCTGCACAGTGATGCTCCAACAGTGTCAGAATTTAAGTATCAGTCTCACTGGGAGACACCCCATGTTCAAAATATATACACTTGCAGTACAAAACAGTACAGTGTTTAGAATGATCTATGCAGTCATGTTCACAAATGCAGTTTTGTTGTGGATGAGAAAATCTGTTACATTTCTAAAATTCACATCATTTTCATGTCTGGTACAGTATTTGTGATAAAGGAGCACGAGCCTGTGAGTTCCTCCTTTCAATCGAGAATAAGTGTGCTAATTGTGTCCACATATCATTATGCCCAAGGGTCTGCAGGACTGTAATTGCATATGAGCAAGTCATTTATTATGACTTGTTTATGAGCTCAAAATAGGATTTGAACTGGGGCCATGAAGTGCAGAGCCCAAACGCAGACTTTCTATTGTGACGTGTGGTGTTGATGAAGAAGGCCTCAGGGATCGGGAAGGTAATAATAATCACTGGGGGTTGTTTGGTGGAGATTAAAGTAACCTACATTCTTACAAAATGATTGATGACGCAAGATTCAAATCAGACAAAAAGGTAGGTCTGAAAGGTGAGATGGTGAGATTATTTCGCTGTTTCCAAGGTCAAGGGCGAACTTTCAATCTAAATTTTTAAGCCAACATGGACAAAGAGCCCTAAAGTGCTGAAGATCGTGTGTTTTGTTCAAAAGCTAAACTAAATGAACATAGCGGTGAGAATATTTTGTCAACTGGTTACCAAAAAATGTTTTTTTTATGACAAAATAATTCCAGGATTCAATCATTTCACAGACAGGCTTGTGTTGGTTTTAGACATTAAAACCAATCAACGATGATGCTTTTTATGCATTTATGGACATAAAAACAGTTTTGAAAACTGGCCATTTCAGACATGTTTTGAAGTGTGGACACTGAGAAGGTCTGACAAATTATCAGCAAAGATGATATAATAATAATAATAATAATAAAATTGGCATCATGTTCTGAAGTGTTAGGATATACTCTAATTTAAGTTTGTAAAGTTCACTTCCTCTTAAAACTCAGTGTTCCTTCTCCTTCCTACTGTGTGCTGTTTGAATGCTGTCTGTGCAGAGTTTGACACTAGAAGGATGTTTTCACATTCATCTGCTGAAAGTGGAAAGTTTCTCTGTGCTCATTGAAAATCAGATTTTTAAGGGGCGGGGCCTACCAGCATGATTTGTGACATCACAAATAATTAGGAAGTCAGTCCTGGTCCAGTATGCAACTTGTACAGTGTGATCCACCAGTGCACATCCACTGAGAATGGACTTTACAGTGAAGGAGGAGACATCTTGCGTCCGACAGGAAAACTTTAGAAATGAACTAAATGTGCATATTCAGAGATTGTGGAATTTATAATGAGGTCGAAGGAGGATTTTAATGTGGATTTTTGCAAATCAGACACACATTATTGCTCCAAGCAGATTATTCTATATGTCTTAATACATGTCTGGAGGGGAGCCTTAATAAAAGAAACGCTGTGAGGCTGAAACTTAGTGTGCACCTGGCTGTGGAAGCTTTGCTGACAACTCAATGAAAAATACACATTAGCTGGCACTGCATTAACTTAATAATGAAAATGCTCAAATATATGACCACTTTACCCTGAACACACACAAGCCACAGGAATGCACCAAAGCTAAGACTCCAAACAGTCAGAACTCATGTCAATCTTGACATGCTGAAGATGCCCTGCAGCTTACAGGGCTGCTCATTTAACAGCACAGTTATGACAGCCCTCCTGTGATAATGAACTATGTCTGCTGAGGCACTGCGGGGGGGGGTTGGCTGGTAAGGGTTTTGGAAGAGTTCATTATTTATAAGCAGGTATAAGAACACTGAGCTTAGCTTAGCTCTGGTCTTCACATAGCAGCTAGCTGGCTGCATGTAGTCCACTAAATGCAGCGTTTAGGTGTCACGCTGTGTCTGTGAACAGGCCAGACACACACACACACACACACACACACACACACACACACACACACACACACACACACGTCTGAATGGGACAAGGTGGGAATAAGGTGACATGGATGAAGACGAGGCAGGCAACTCACGTAGTGTTTAGACGGATTGCGCCTCTTCTCCACGTCCACGACTTTCACGTCCAGCACAGTCCGGAACTGCATCTTGACCCTGCAAAGGCTCTGCATAAACGCGTCGGGCAGGCGGCTGCTGCGGCTCCAGATAGGCTGTCTTGTATCACGGGAGAGAAATCCCAACATTCATCTTCAGCTGTGGCATTTAACAATTCAGCGGTCCATTAAGAGATCGGCAGCTCAGACTCTCCGCCCCCCCCGCCCCCCCTGCACGCTGACGCAACGACCATCGATCTGATCAGAAACTTATCAATAGTCCATTTGAGCCCACGCCGCTCGCTTTACACGCGAAACACGACACAGCCGAATATCGGAGCGGAGGGCGGGTTTCACGTTGCCCGCAGCCGCACGGAGCTCCAGCGGAGAGCCGGGCGCGGATCAGGTCGGTCGCCTCAAAAATAGATAGGGGGAAAGTGAAGCGAGCTCCTTTGTGTCTGCCGCGATGCCTACAAAAAGGGGCATCAGCATACCTGGAGGAGGTGACAGAGGCAGAATGCGAAGGGAGCCGGCAAATCCAGCGCCAAACGCCTCCTGCGTTACAGCGGGTTACAGCGGGCGCAGAGGGTTTTGGGGAACGGAGTGGGATGGGCTTCACGCACGTCCTACTTGGAATAAAGCTCTGAAGAAAAACAGTGATTTGGCGGTGGCTTCCTCCACAAGAAGCGTCCGGTTGTGTGACATTATTATGAAGCTGCGTTTGTAAGCAGCCTCGGTTTAACGTCTCACTCACTCACTGTGTCTCCCCGTAACTTTTTCTCCCCGCTCTCTAACACAGATCTATAAGTAATATGTTACACAGATGTGGCAGCAGATGTAGGCCTGGATTGGACACAGTCTGCTTGTTATTCACTGAGGAGTTCTTAGAGTGATGATGAAGCTATAGTCAGTTTAACACTGTCCAGGATCTGGGCTGGGAGCAGCTTTAGTTTCTGGCCGGAGACACCAGCAACTGGAACTATGGATACAGATGTTTCACAGGCGACCAATCAGCAGCAACCTGCTCTACATGAAAGAGCCAATTAACGACCAAACAGTGCCCCCCTGTGCACACAGCAACATGAGCAATCTGGTGAAGGAGCCCGTTCAGAGGCTAGACTTTAGTTCCCTTTGTGCTTCTTGATTTAGTTCATAAAATGAAAGCTAAGATCCCTTCAAAGGATCATTGCTGAGGCCAGATCGGTTTCATCTTTTAAACCACTTTTATTTTAATGACTTTACTATAGGCATGAGTCCGAGGCTGGATTTCCAACTGGGCAACTGCCTCGGGGCCCGGGGCTCCCAGGGGGCCTGAAAACTCCAAGCTTAATGTGTATCAACTGCTTTGTGGTGATGTAATTGAATATGTATATATGGGAATATATGCGAGGATGGATTGCCAACTAGGCAAAGGGCCCTGGGTTCACTGTGAGGCAATTCATTTGTGGCCATTTAATTAATATGACATATAATGAAAAGGGCTTTCGGGTTAATCATACATTTGTACTTAAAGGGGCACTCCACCGATTTGTGAGTGACTCAGTCTGTAAAAACAGCTGTAAAATGTTATGGCTTGGAGAGTACACAGCGCGTCACAAACCCCAGCGTGGAGTTTTAAAGGCCTGGGCATTTACCAGTCAGGAGAAAGTCTAATGACAAGTGCTGCTGAGTTGCATTGTTGGAAACGTAGGATTCAACATGTTGAACCTTAAGGGTCTCTGCCTCTAATGGAAATGCATGATGTGGCACACCTGGTATGAGTAACGTATCGTACTAGTGTCATTATAACCACATGAGCATATGACATATTGGTGCATATTGTATACTGATGGTTACTGACATAGTAATGATAATCATTACTATTATTATTATTATTATTATTATTATTAACTCAAAGTTTATTTGGTGTAGTGCTCCTTCCAGCCAGGTGGGGGCATCAGTTTGATAAGGATAAAATGGACATTGTTTAGGGTGGAGGAGGGGACATGGACATGTATAATGCTGCTTGGAGGGATATTTCCTGTTGAATTGTCTCAAAGGTCCAGTGTGTAGGATTTAGTGGCATCTAGTGGTGTAGGTAAAGATTGCAACACCTTTGCCTCACTCTCCTGTTCCAAGCATGTAAGAGAAACTACAGTAGGGGCGAAACTAGCAAAAGGCCCTATCTAGAGCTAGGGGTTGGTTTGTCTGTTCTGGGCTACTGTAGAAACATTGTGGTTCTAGATGGCAGCCTCCGTAGACGAGGACCCGGTCCCTCGGTAAACAGAAATGACTAACTCTAAGGTAACCAGAACACAGTTCTTATTTTCAGGTAATTATTCACAAATAAAAACACAACTATGGATATTATATTCCATTTCTGCCAATAGATCCTGCTGAATGTTACACACTGGACCTTTAAGAAAAAAACAAAACATAAAGATTTTTTAAAGAAAAGTTATACACAGTTATAAATGATGGGGACCCAGGAGCTCATTTTGCCCCAGGTCCCCCTAGTAGGTTAATCCAGCAATGCATGAGCTTTATATTTGTTATTTATTTCAAAATGTGTGCTATCATAAATATTTACAGTGCACAGTGGTACTGGAAACTCTCTGGTATCCATTTTCTTTGGCATGCCTTTCAAATAAAGCATGCTAACATGCATTAGTAATTTAAAATAGTCATGATGAACAAAGGAATACAGATGGCATGATTTACTTTTATCTTGGGACGCTCACATTTTGGAGCAATAAGCCATAGTGCACACAGTATATGCAGTAACAGTGGGCTCCCCACCCTGCTGTGCTCAGGCTAAAACACAGTGTAATGGTTGTCGCTGGTGCTGACGATGTCACTGTTGCACTCCAGTGATTTGAGGACCAGCTCCAGTGCCGTTTTGCTCACGTTGAGGCTGTGGCGCTGCCTGACTGCAGACAGGATGTGCAGGATGTGACAACCCTTCTCTGCATCTACAGGCACAGGGGGAGGACACACGCGTCATACACACGGACACGTGGCCATGAAAAGGTTATATGGAGACTTCAAAATCACACAGTTTTATGTTTTCAATATTGTCTGAAGTTATTATTTATCTTATACAAACACCCTATAGAGCCATAATTCCATTTTACAAGCATTATCACAAAACAGCATTTACTCTTTTTATTGAAAATATAATTGTAGAAGTGATTAGTGAATAACTTACAGTATGTGTGTGTGAGTTCTGTGCTAATTTCATCTTTGACAAACAGATAAAAAATCTTTCACCCTGATTACTTCAACTGAGTGATAATTGCTGCTATACTCAACACACTGCCACAAAGGAGTCCGCCACAGAGTCAAACTGAAACAAGTTTGATACTTAAGAGCGAAAATGAAGTCTACTTACACTTGTCTCTCTTTGAGTCTTCGTGGATGATGTCTTTGACGGCTATGAGTAGATCTTTGTCATGTGCAGTCACCTGGAGAAGGACAACAGCATCAGACACATCCACAGTGAACACTTACGATAACATCCTAATGAAGTATTAGGGGTTCATTTAAACATCTCTCTGTTTCTTACATGATAGACTTCATCCTGGGATTTGACCCTGCGGTACACCGTTCCCTCGTCCTGCAGTATTTGCAGGACCTCCTTCAGGAGCTGGCGTAGCTGCTGGCAGGCAGACGGACCCGCCACAGGCTTCTTAACAGCAACAGAGAGGCATAATAACACAATAGTGCTCAAATGACTTCTGTTGTTGTCTTTTGTTTCAGTTTTAGACATCTGAATACTTTTCTGTTAAGAAATGTTAATGCTAAGTGGAAATATCTCAGTGTGATGACATATTGTCTAGTTATCTCAGTGTTTCTCCAATGGGGGCACGCGTACCCCTAGGGGTACTTTGGAGAACTACAAGGGTATGTGAATTTTTGAAGTTAACATTTTATGTTCAATATTATGCAGTCAAACCTCCCGGAAAGAGTTTCATGACTGCCTCCATGCCACAGACAATGACTAAGATCCTCAGTGAAGCACAGGCTCCTGTTTCTCATGTTTCTCACTACATTGTGAGTGCAGCGTATCAAAAAGACAACGCAGTTCAATGCAACGCATGAACATGATGACTTAGCACAAAAAATTGCCATGAATTTGGATTCTAAACATTTGAAATGAAGCATTCAGGTGTTTCTCTTAATAAATCCAACGCTGATATGCAGCACGGCATTGTACCTGCACTGACCAGCGAGAACCTGGCTGAAAAAAAATTCAAAGGGATTACATCAATGGAAAAAGGAGAACCATTGATTCCCACACACCGATGTTAGCCAGCTACCACGCAAGGTGCTGGCCTGACCATCTAACTAAAATGGAAGGAGTTTCTGTTTCAGCAGCTTTAATAGTCCAATCATTTCCACTGAAATAACCAATAACTTTAACAACTCTGAAGAATACAAATCAGCTTCAATGCCAGAAATCAGAACCTGACTCTGTTTCTTTATTCCACTCCTCATTCTCACATAAGAAGGACACTTCAAATGAACTCTGACGTTGGATTTTCGTTTCATCCCACCACCACACATCTTCAAAAAGAACTGGCACCCATATTATTATTTTGGCATACCTGGTCTGCTGGTGTTGTTTGAGGTTGGCTGGAGATCAGAGGCTGCAGGAGGTCCTGGACATCATAGGGTCTGAACCTGGTCACCGACTTCTCTTTAAAGAAATCCTTGATGAGATTTGTTGCCTTGCTGAGAGAACTGATGGCTGAGTCACTGAAAAACAGATGAAGAACCTGGCCTTAATTTAATTTACACCACTGCTTACATATATCTTTAGGAATCATTGATTCACTGAGTCAGGCTCAACTGTGACACCTTGTTTCTATTACTTTCTTATTTCATGGATTACTCGTTTAGTTGTTCTCTGTTTAGGTCTATAAAAACTAGAGCCCTACCCACCATGAATGTTTTAGCACATCTTGCAGTACACACAGTGAAACTGAAAAAAACTCTTTTCACTTCATTCATTCATACAGCCTCAAAACTGTCTTCATCTTAGCCATGTTTTGTTAGTTGTTAGTTAGCCCCAGACTGAAGAAGAAATTCAATTTAAGAGCTGTTATTTTTGTAAGTAGACATACAAAATGTTACCACTGGGTCGATATCATATTTTGAGCATTTTTCTGTTGCTGTTTTTTATGGATTTTGCCACCAAACTGCCACCAACCAGTGGCGATTCCGAGGTCTGAAACCAGGGTACGTCAGTCTGAGCTGACAGCGTGTCAGCACACCGTGGCATCAACTCTCCAGAAAAACAGCATTTTATCACATTTTGGATCTAATTTGGAGAATTAGCCCCACCATTGTTTCGATGAACCAACTACTAATATAATGTAAAATGAATTCACTTGCATTTTCTTTTGCCAATTTTTCTGGAAATTCTATTAACATTGTTGTAATCTACTGTGTACATTTAGGAGTGAATCTTTGTACCCCGTTGCATCAGGCTGCAGCTGGAATGGTTTGTCATAGCACTGTCTGTAGAGCTGAGGAACGTCCATCATCCACGCTATCTGGACCGACATCACTGGGTCGTTCACTCTATCTGGGAACACACAGAGACCCAGACACACACAATGACACATATGATGAATAAGCAGAGGATGTAGACAGCGTGTACGCTCCAATAAAAAAAATGTGCTGTGTTGTTGTGTATGTGGGTGAGAAAGAGAGACATGTGTAGGCAATCATAAAGCGAGGATGCAATGCTAGGATAAAGAATGTCCTTGCTCTGCACTTCAAGTGCACATGCATAGCATAACAAGTGTGTGTGAGCTAATAGATGCGCTTGTTTGAGCATTTGTAGAAGAAAACATCAGTTAAAGGTTGGCATGTTTGTCTCATATAATATTTTTAAAATGTGGCTGGTTGGTAAAAGTGGATGGAGAGTATCAAACTGCCACTGCCGCCTGCGGGAGACAGCCCTGTGCACTCACAGTAGGTGGAGGCCATGATTTCTCTCTGTTGCCTCGACGTCTTCACCGGTCCTCTGACTCGGAGCAGCTCCCCAATCTCCAGGCGGCAGCGCCTCTGCTGGGCCTGTCTCAGCTTCTCCAGCTCAGCGACCAGGTTGAAGCTTCCATGAGCCACATCACTGTGTTTCTCCCCTGCTGCAGATGACAAATACAGGATATTACACAGTGCTTTGTGGTAATAAAGAAATACACCTAAAAAATAATCCATATAAAGATGTTAGACTTTAAAGCTGCACGACTCAATATTTCTTAAATAGGCACTGGATTAAATTACTATGTGAAATTTGGAATGGGACACTTGTATTGTTGAACTGACAGCAAATTACAACCATTATGCAGTTCTCCTCAAATGTACAGAGCTTGTAAGCGTCTTTTAGCTCATTGTTTTGGTTTTATGGTCAACAAACCTAGCTCTCATCAACCCTTTTTCAGTGGAAACACTCTCAGGAACTCATAGTATGCTTCCTGCCCAGTACAAAACAGCAGATAGACAAAGGTAACGACTATCTTGTGAACATAGCAAGCAAGATACCCAGACATTTTCTCTCAGGAGGTGGTCGAGACCAAAACAGAGCTAAGAGGAGAGTGAGTTTTGGACTTTGTATGACTGTGGCATGTGTAAATATGGACACATCTGCCATAACAACTTTACGAGGTGTCACGTGACTTGCGGCATCACATGATTTACATAATGTAAATACAGAATACAGAAGACTGATACATACAAATAGAAACTCACATTTAGTAGGACCCCCCTCCTCTTTGAAGAGGTCATTTTTCCAGCACAAGCAGTTTATAACGCCAGTACCATCATCCACTGTGGAGAGGAGGAAAGATACTCAGACAAAGACTGTTTTTGCTTGTGAGGAGACTGGGAAGTCAAAGCCATGTTATTTTTAGGCCTTTAAACAACAGGAGTGAGTGTGTGTGTGTGTGTGTGTGTGTGTGTGTGTGTGTGTGTGTGTCAGGTTTTGAAACATAAACACAAACTAGGGCATTGTCACAGATGGAGACTCTCAATTGCTTTATCCATAACATGTTATACAATCACTGCCACTGGGGTCCCACAATGACTCCCGAAGACAGCATTCACAGTTAGAACACTGCTAAAACACTACAGGGCCACAGGGCCACAGGGCCAGTACAGCAGGACTACCTCCATAACAGAAGAAGTCGTCTCTTTCTCTCCTGTAAACCACCGTGCCGAGTACATCAACTTTGTAGATTGGGTGTAAGTTGTAGAAGTAAATACCTGTGAGAAATAAGAGCAAAAAAGTCAATATTAGTTAGATATGTAAGGTTACAGTATGAAGACCTTCAATGGGACAGTTACACATAATCACTCAAGCTATAAAAGGTCGCACAGTTGGGCTTAAAATGGAAGATGAAATGATCAAATACAGGATGTGTAAGTTGTAGACACACCAAATAACACAACATAAAGTTAGTCTGATAAAGTTAGCTGTGACCTTACATAAGAATAAGCTAGCTAACTTGCTAGCATGAAATGTGTTGACGTTAGTTTATAAGTAAGTTTAGTCATATTATCATTAATGTTCATTTCATACTCAGACCCGTAATGCCACTACCGATTCACAGTCAGTGTGTCTACAGGTGGCATGCCCATTTACCTGGCACCTGTGTGGACTCTGTCATCTGCAGGATGTCTCTGACATACAGCCTGGCGAAGGCAGAAAAGATCGGGTCGAGTCCCCACAACATCGATGGCGGCTCTTCCGCTGGATCCATCGTAGCTGACTGCATTTCATCATTAATACCAAAGCAGAGTTATGTTTTCCAGAGTTCCCCGTCGGACGAGCAGTATCAGCAGAGTAAGCTAGCAGCAGGGGAGTGTCATGGGAAGTATTGGTCACGTGACGTGTTAACCCACGTTAAATCAATACGTTTTTGTTACTGTGGCTCAGTAAAGTATTTATGTAGAACACGTTAGAAATGTTCCTGTTGCAGAATAGCATTAAAACATGTCAATGTTTTAAAGCCTTGTATGAGCACTTTACGGTCTGTTTGGCGCGTTCATGTGTCGCAGTGGAGCATGGGATATGTAGTTTCAGCGGGGACACAAAGAAACCTGACTGTGGTGTTTATTGAGACGATGGACAAAGTACACCACAAAGAACAAGTAGTATACACCAGACTGTTATTTGTTCTTGACGAAAACAAGCTGCGGTATCGCCGCGAACACTTCAGACACCCCCGCAGCAGTAGTGTTGGGTCTCCTGTACAGACGAGGGCAGCAGTAGTGTTGGGTCTCCTGTACAGACGAGGGCAGCAGAAGACTGACATTACCCCGCCAACCGTCAAGCACGAGGAGCACAAGAAGAGAAAGAACCTCAGTCGCGCGCACTCGTGAACGCGCACTGACACTAAATCCGCTAGATTACTAACTAAACCCGTCCCTCAGCAAAGGAAAGATGACTGTTTTGCCGTTTTAGCGAATTCTAATGTACGGACCAACTGTGCCAGTTTTAACCCTCAAGGAAACTAATTATTCTGTGGAATACAACTACTTAGAAGGACGCCTCATCTTTTTTTCTTTTGGTTGAGAAAGAACCCCACAGGGTTTTCGGGCCAGTAGGTCGTCAGGAGTTGGAACAACGAAGAGCTTCTCGTAGTACTTTGCATTGAAATGAAGTGTTGTTTAGGCGGGTTTCAGATGCTAGGAGAAGTGTAGGTTAACCTTTGGTAATTATTTTGGGGGTTAACAATGACCCATGATGTGCCAAAGAGCTGTTATCTGGACTGGTCAAAACAGTGTCAAAGGCTAAGCTAGGTTTTGGTCCCAACTATTATGAAAGCTACAAGCGGACATTTGTAACTAACGTTAACGTTAATGGGGCATATATGTTAACGTTACTCCAAAGACTTGTGCTAAAGTAAACTGTTAACGGAATCCGACAATACTTCTTGTGGCGTCTTACAATTGAATTCCTTTGTGAACTTTTTCATTGAATGACACAGGATTCACTATGTCATTTTTTAATTTCCGTAAAATATTTAAATTGGGAGCTGAGAAGAAGAAGAAGCAGTACGAACACGTCCGCAGAGATGAAAATCCAGAGGAAGTATGGGACATAATCGGTGAATTGGGAGATGGAGCCTTTGGGAAAGTGTTCAAGGTAGGTAATGTCTCCATCGGGGGGCTCTATGTGGAGAATAGCCTTTTTTCCTCTAATTGCTCCATTGTGGCTGTTTTCATCAGTCTTTTGTAACATCTCCGCACCCAGCAATCCTCTTTCTGAAGGGTGACATAATGTGCCAGCAGTGTCACCTCAGTATTGTATTGCTTTGACCCACCCACCATCTTCAGACCAATACCCTAGCCCCGTGACAGGTGGTGTCAGGTATGACTGCTGAGCTCCCTCTCCACGGTTACACATGTAAAAGTTTGTTTACATGTGACAGACATCCGACCAATGGCAACACATCCGCACATTGCTGCAAGCTGACTACTTCACCACCTGGTCTCGTTCATTGTCAAGCAAAGCTGAGAATCTGTGAACATCTTGGTAGTATACACACAGATGTAAACAATGGCTAGAGCCAGAGCACAAAAGTAGCACCAGCTACCAGCCGAATGCTGGAAAAAATATGCAAGAGCCTTGTAGATTTGCTTCACTCACCAGCCAGAAAGAACAATGGCAATCTATGAGTGACTGGTGAGATTTGAACATTTAGTAGCTGTTTGGTCAGTGGACAGAAAAATTGGTTTTCAGACATTAGACATTTTCCAAGCAGGGGCAGAACGTATGTTAATAATGCTGGTGGGTGCTGTTTGTATCTGTGTTTATATCTGTTCTGCGGCTTTTAGAAGCTCTGACAAACCAGCCTGATAATTTTCCCTTTACATTTTCAGATAGCCGACCCAGTGTCAGAGCAGCCCCCTTGTCATCATTTTAATAGCACCATTGTTTGGGTTGACCCTAATGCATAGCTGGAGCCAGAAGCTTCATTTGCATGAGTGACAGTAAATGTTATCACGCAGGAGGGCTCTACCAGAGCTAATACCAGGAAGTCTGTGGCAAACAAACACACTTTGCATTTTCTTTGGTCTTGGTTGCCAAGTTCTATTTTTGGACACCTTTAAATAGTTGTTGGCTTAACCAAGATTTCATGTCGGTGTTACTTTGTATCATACTTAAAGTTAGCCCAATGGTTTAGTCACAGGTTGCCAATTTTGCAGCATTCCAACACTAAAGCTCACATGAACTAGACCTACTGTTCAAGAAAGGAAAAAGTACCAAAATAGATCCTTTCTCATCATTATCCCATGGAAGCAGTTTACGTTTGTCCTACAGGCAGTGGCACAAGCTGAAGGAGATCTACAAATAGTAAATTGCCGTGTGTTATGTTTATATGTCTGGGCTTTGGGCCATACCAATTTCAATGCCCCACTCCACTGATTCACCACTGGGATAGTCCACACTCTATTGATTCATAGTGAAATACAAGCTGTCTGTTTTTAGTACTGGGGAGTATATTATGGGGCTTCATATTTTTTTAAATGCCGTGTATGGCTGACCACGGAACACAGGCAGGTCACCAGGAAGTGGCTGCATCCCATATCGCAGTGGCAACTTCATTGAGCACATCCTGCCCACAGAGAAGCCAAGACAAACAGGAGAAATTTCCACTTCAGTGAGACGTGTCTCATGTTCTGCTGACTGACTCAGACGCACAGCAAAGCAGAGAGTGTTTATTTGCTTTTTTTACCCGATCCTCCTAAAGGCTGTTTGAGGTGTTTGTTGCAGGTCTGAGGTCAGGACAACATAAAGTCCAACATAAACCAAGTCTGGCCTTCTTCGAGATTACGTGTTTTCATCTAGAGCAGTAAAATCAGAACAAACACATTTTCTGAACACAAGACGAGCAAGACTGTGAGCTGAATAACTGCATGAGTCCTTTGACCCTACAACCGTTTAATAACATTCTCATCCTATAGGCTCAAAACAAACAGACGGGCATCCTCGCTGCAGCCAAAGTTATTGACACAAAGACTGAGGAGGAGTTGGAGGACTACATGGTGGAGATTGACATCCTGGCCTCCTGCGACCACCAAAACATTGTGAAGCTGCTCGACGCTTTCTATTATGAGAGCAAACTCTGGGTGAGTAGAGGGAAGAGCTCTCTGGAGTGACAATGTCATCGTTGTTTCCTCCATATTACACAAGCAGAAGTATGGACCTAATAATCATACAGCAGTTTGATTTGGCGCAACTTCCTTCTGAATCACACATTATACCAATCTTAAAAATACGTTTGTAGTGCAGTGCAGCTTGACAAAACCATGAGTGAATGTGATAGTAACAGTTCCTCCCACAGTGAATCAGCACTATAAAACCACAAAGGGAAATACTGTTTCATTGAGTCTTTACTGTAAACTCTGTATTCCAGTTGTTGTTATGATTATGGGCTCAGAGTGTATCTATGCCAGGTTATTTATTATGTTTTACTTTTAAAGGAAAGAAAAATAGGCGATTTACATTCTGAACGAAGAGATGGTAACATCGTGTGCATTGACATGCTGGGAGACAATCCAAGTTATCTATTTTTAAATAAATAAAAAGAGGTTAGGAGACCAGGAAATATTTTCCTTACACACAAAGAAAACAGGAACAAAAAAACAAAAAAATGAATTCAAAAAGTGTGGCTGTGACTGTCGTACATAAGGAACCCATTTTGATCATAACTTAGTAAATCTGTTCATTTGTAGACAAATCCATGACTAACTATACCTGTCCATTGCTGTATTGTGGGGGAGCCAAGACGACCCCAATGCCTGGTGATGTTTTTTTATAAGCAGAAAGTGTCCTGTATGAAAGTCAGCTTTTCCTAAGATAAAAATGTAAAACTGGAAGGGTATTCTTGTGTTAAATATGGCTTCAGATGTTTTGTGTATCTCTGACCAGAAATGCCTAATTACTGGAATAAATATATTGATTGGCATCCTGGCTCCGTCAGTCTCCAGCACTTTGGATGCTCTCCTGTAAGGTGTGCTAATGAAAATCTAACGAAACACTTCAATGTCTCTATGCCAGGTTAAAGGCAGAGTACATCACTCTACTGTTATTGGAAGGTTTTTGCAGTATGCCAGTTCCTTTCCTACAGTTGTATTCTTATAAAAAATTTGAGGCCAAAGTTCACCTGAGCAGCAGAAAGAAGGAGCTTTTAGAGCTGTTAATCATCATACCAGTTTATAATCCATCCGCTTTTGATATGAGCTCATTTTTCATTTTTAAATTCCTTTGTTTTTCTCTGTTGTCACTTTCTAATTCTGTTATCTTTGAAACTGCCAATTTTTCTATTCCTTGTAACACAAACTCTGAATTTTAGATGTTTCACAGCATTAGAGCATTAATGTTGGACTCCAGTGAATACTGACTAGTTGTGTAGATACAGTGCTTTAATTCCTTTAACCTTTGCCTGTAGCAAACCTGTTTCAGTAGATAGGGATAATACCCAAGGCCTAAACGTGAGGGAAGTGTTCATGAATAATGAAACAGCGTGTGTGAGGAACTCACTGATTGAGGTAGATTACAGGTTGGTCAAACCCAGTATTTCTGGGTTTTTCTCTTTCCTATCGTACACTGTGTAGAATATCTAACCATGCTAGGCAAATAACTAGGGCGGGGTATTGTTAAGAACCTCACGATTCGATTCGATTTTGATTGTTTCGGTCACAATTCAAATGGATTTTGATTCGATATTGATTTAAATGCTTCGATATCGATTCAGTAATAAGTAGAAATACAGCTTCGGGACGGCGACTTCCGTCATGTGTTAACGTGTTGGTATGGTGTATCGTGGTTCGAGTGTGTATACCATCTTCTTAAAACCCCCGTTTTCCATGACACTGTACGGTCGTAGGTCCTTACATATGAAGACGGCCACAGACTCCATTATGTTCTGTGCGAAGGATCTGTCGAGTTGCGTCTGTTTTGAATCCACAGGTTTAGCCGCGGGTTGCTGCAGAGCATCCGCAAGGTGTCGGCTTACTTGGTTGCGCAAATTTGCTCACACACTACCTTACTTTTGTCTATTTCCTGTGTTCGGGGTTCACACTGGAATCCAAAATGACTCCAAACGTCTGCTTTTAAAGTTGAAGGCTCTGGTTTAACACTGCTGCCCCCTGCTTCGGTTGCCATGTTGTTGTTGTTGTTGTTGTTGTTGTTGTTGTGTGGTCAAGTGCGGCCTCCGTCCATACAACGCAAATCAGTGTTGCTCACCGCGTCCCCACTGGCCAGGGGCTTGAATCGATTCAGACGATTTAATGAATCAATGGGAAAAAATATTTTGCAATGCATTGATGAATCAATATTTTTACCCACCCCTACAAATAACATCCTCTAGGTTGATTTTGGAGCGGCGGCACGCCGCTGTTAAATTTCTGCCGCCACGGTATCAGAAATGGGGCAGACGCACAATGTAGTCACGGTTGCCTTTTAAATTATCCTGCCGACATAATGCACCCCCGTTGGCTACCGCTCACATTGCAATTTAACAACAAGTAGAACTATTCAGAGGTTATTGGGGCTGTCCAGTTTAACTCCACTGTCCGAACTGGTGTTCAGATGGGCCTGCCCCCCCTGCTAAAAAAATATCCCAGAGGAAACACTGTAACACATTCACCATAGCAAAGGACATCTTTCCACAATCTATTTTCTAGAATTAGAAACCGGGCATGTACATCCAGGGCTGGGAACATCATCGGAAGTACCATGCCTTGGCTGGTGTGAGTCAAAACGCAGGCATGTAAAAAGACAGTCAGGTCATTATAAAGTCTCATGATTACCTGACTATTTGATTACAGTGCGTTTCATTGAATGCTCGGCCCTTTTCCTCCCCATTGTCCTCTCAACAATGGTCGTCGCCTGATGGAGGTTGTCTGCTGATTTTTATCTTGGTCTGTGTGGCACCTGTTTGTGCAAAGAGGAGAGAGTGTCCAGGACATTTCCTCCTGGAGATGAAAGGCTTTATTACACATGGTCCCCGGACGGTCGGGAGGGGACTTACTTAATAACTGCATACTAAGTTGTGTGTGTCACCTGTTGACCTTTGTTTCCCTTTTGCTGTGTTACATTACAACTTCAGTTGCACAGCAACAGTTTCTAGGCTCCAAGCTGATGTTGCTGATATTTTCATCCTTTTAGGCCTCATAACTTGTAGGTGAGATCATATGTGGACTCACATCCTCCCTCTCTGTGCCACATGAATGGATTAGAAAATATGTGGGTGCATAGTTTAGTTTTTATGTGTGTGTGTGTGTGTGTGTGTGTGTGTGTGTGTGTGTGTGTGTGTGTGTGTGTGTGTGTGTGTGTGTGTGTCAGATAAACAAGTGGGAGAGGAAGCCACAGCCCTGGCCCATGGTTCCTCTCTGCCTGCTGCCACTCTGAAAAACCACTGTGGTGGCCATTGTACAACAGCAGAGCCACTAAAACAACAGCACGCCTACAGAGAAACACTAGACTGGTGTGCGTGTTGAATAGCCAAGACTACTCTGAGACTTGAGGCATTGTATGTCTCGTAAGGGCTTTGTTGTTGTAAGTAGAACAGTCTTGAAAAGCTCAACTGAATAATGGAATGCCATTGAACCTGGGATAAAAGTTAGTCTTTTTTAGGAAATAGGCTCTTAGAAGATTTTGTCACTTGTCATTTAAATGCAGGTTGACCCTGTAACTGAAGCTAGGGCCCCAACGTATCTACCACAATTTCTCAATGGTTACCAAATTGCATTGCGGCTTTACTTCCTCTTACTTAATGTGTGACATTTGGCCAAATGTTCCCCAAATCTCAGTGGAGAGAAGTGAGTTAGCTTCACGCTATATTAAGGCTAGCCTTGTGTCCAAGCCTAATAAAGACAAAGCTCCAGATGCTTCACCTACAATACTGCACAGTCACACTCACCCCTGCCTGAGCTGCTGTGTCCATAGAAACTTTAATCCTATTTACAGAATGAGGCCTAAGGTCTGGCAATATAGCTAGCTACTAGCCAGCGACCTAGCAGCTGTGTGAAACCTTTTCCACAATGTGGCCCCAACTGGGCCAATCCTCTTACGCCAACAGCCATACTGAAAGCTCCTAAATGCCTTTAAGTTCTCAGAGGGTTTCATTCACGCAAGCTGGGCGGAGGTTCATTCTCAAACTGCCCAAGCCAAGTGAGTAGGTAGGGTAGGCAATGGCAAAGATGATGACTCCCTTTGAGTTCTGTACATATACAATGCACATTTCAGCAGACTAAACACATGGAAGCCAGCATTTCTCTCTGTACTTGAGAACCATCCAGACTCTCACAATAGATTTGAAAGGTCACCAGGTTCAACCCGAGCATTACTGCCTCATGAATGGGCTGCACTCACCTCTGTTTGAATAATGTTAATCTCTAAATAATAAAAACATGTTACTGACTATATTGTTAATGCAGTGCATGTTGTTTTACATAAACAAATACCTGTGTTGCAAATGTATGTATGTAAAAATATATTGACTGGGTTCCTCTTTTTCCCCTCGTCGGCAGATCCTCATTGAGTTCTGTGCAGGAGGGGCTGTGGATGCGGTCATGCTAGGTGAGTCAGCATTTCCACTGTTCGTACAGGTTGTAACGTCAAATAGGAAACTGTGCAGAAAGCAGCACTAAACTAAATTAAGACACCAGAAGGCCTCTGAGGTTCTCAACCAGGGGTCCTTGAGGGGGTCCCCGGAAAAATGGGGAATATTTATTTTAATTTCACCATTACTTCAATGAGAGACTGTATAAGAATGACTATTCAGTTCATAGGTTTCACAGCTTTTCACTGTTAATCAGCCAATATACAGTATAGACAGTTACAGAATAACTAAATCTAATCACACAGGGATCCCTGGGAGTCTCTTATCAAATATGACTCCATGTCCTGGTGTGTATCAATCTGGGGGTCCATGACACCAAAAAGGCTGAGAACCACTGCTGTAGACCACCCACGTGTTACATTCTTCATTCATCAATACACTGACCGTAGCTTAAAGTAGTTATGATTATGTGGCATACCACAGTCAGGAATGCTAAGCATGTGTTTGTGTAACCTTTGTCCCCCTGCAGAACTGGAGAGACCCCTGACAGAGCCTCAGATCAGGGTGGTGTGTAAGCAGACTCTGCAGGCCCTCGTCTACCTCCACGACAACAACATCATCCACAGAGACCTGAAGGCTGGCAACATCCTCCTCATGCTGAACGGTGACGTCAAGCTGGGTAAGGGAACAGTCAAATCCTGCCGTTATCACCACAAAGTACATCATTTTTCCAGGCAGGGTTAGCTACAGACTCTGTCTCACCCAGTGTCTATGATCCCAATCATTTTTATGATTATGACCCTCACTCTATAGATGATTCAATTATTAAATTAGTATTGTTGCAGGATGAATGGAGAAAACTGTACACTGTAATGTATATAACATATACAGGATATAGGAGAAAGTTAAGAGCTAGGGTGAAATGTCTTGCTTTTACAACTATATTTCTCCTCGTTCAGTCACGTGAATTTTTTTTCACTTTTCTAGGGGAAAAATCATAAATGAGTTCACAGTCTAGCAATGTAGGCTGTGTGCCTTTGGCCAGAGTTTCCATGTCTTTATCTCATGTTTCCTTATAATTTAACTGCTGGATGTGGCACAGGAATGTACAGTAGAGTGATACCATCCATTTATAGCTGTTTATGCACACGCAGCCCAAATACATTGACAGGTTCCGTTGTCTAAGCATGGTGTGTGTTATCATTGTTCACCCACAGGTCTCTCTAACTTGTAACCCCAACCCTTTAGCCTCTACTTGTTTGCATTATGGCATGTTGTCACCAAACAAGTTATTTGCAATTTGTTTGCACAGTACCCAAGAATGTACAGACACTTTCTATGGATTACTTTGATACTGAGAAAGAAAACTTGATATGATTGGATTTATGGATGTTTATTCACAATGAAAATTACACACATTTAAGTGCAAATTGCATGAATCAGTGACTAACAAGTGGCTGTGTGTTTTTAAATGACCTCAGTTGCCTCCATGAGCTGTGTGTCACACCCTCTGATTTGTGTTAACGGTTAAATGTTGATAAGTGGGCCAAACTAAAATGATTACAGCTTCCCTTTGTTCATACAACACTGCCATGCACCTGTCCCTTTGATCTGACGAAGTATCTTTGCCTCATGTCTCTCCATGACGTTATCAGGGTTATTTCTTTGGAAAGCTACATCCAGAGCCACAGGAGACGCTAAACAACTGTTTTCACAGGCTAAATACATACATTTCTTTGTGACAAGTGTACTGAACCGTACTGTTACATGGCTGTTGCAGACATGGTAACATAAACTAGTGGCCTTAATGCACAATAACAAATGTTTGGACCTGCTGCTCAGTGCATACACAAACTTGTATGTACTGCAGATGCAGTAACGTAGCTTACTTAGAAGGGTATGAGTCACTGCTGGAGGATGGTGAAATAACTCACAGCAAGCATTTTGTCCAGTGGCATAACACACACAGAGGTGCCTGTGCATCTGCCTGCTGGGACACTGATGAGCTGTTACTCATACACGGTACAAACAAGGCCTGATGTCATTGTGCAAATGTAAGAGGAGCATTATAACTGCATGTGGTTTCTCAGGCTGTGTGTTCATTTCATGCACTGCTGAGATTGGCAATTGTACCGCTCAAGCGTATACAGTAGTTCATTTTGTACTTGTTTGGTTTGTCTGTTTACATTTGGAAAATAAATGATGACGGTGGTGTTCCTCTGGCTAATTTCTGGTTTGCCTGAATCACATGTCTTCCAGCTGACTTTGGTGTGTCTGCCAAAAACACCAAAACGCTGCAGAGGAGAGACTCTTTCATCGGAACTCCTTACTGGTGAGTGGAATACAAAACCAAACATTAGTACACTATAACTGACCATCATTTTCGCCTTTCTTGCACAAATTACAATTAACATACATGGACCTCCCATCTCCTTTCAATAACTTCTTCACTTCTTTCTTCCAAGGATGGCTCCAGAAGTGGTGATGTGCGAGACGTCCAAGGACCGTCCATATGACTACAAGGCTGATATCTGGTCCCTCGGGGTCACCTTGATTGAGCTGGCGCAGATTGAGCCGCCCAATCACGAGATGAACCCCATGAGAGTCCTGCTGAAAATAGCCAAGTCGGATCCTCCTACCCTAATGCAACCGTCACGCTGGTGAGTCACAGCGAAAAGCTCTATCGTCCTGTCGGGTATAATGATAATAATAAACTTGACTTGTGTAGCTCTTACAAAGTGTTCTACATGGCATTAAAAATGGTAAACAAACAATGAGAAAAAAACATATAAAACAATGTATAATAATGAATGAGGGAGAAGCAGCCTTGAGGTCACTGGTTTAAATGACAATGGACACACTCAAGTCCTTTTTTTATCACTTCCACCCCACAGGTCCCCAGAATTCAGTGATTTCTTAAAGCGGTGCCTGGACAAGCATGTGGACAACAGATGGACTGCTGCACAACTGCTACAGGTATCTGCATTCTCTTGGAACCTTCACACAACTTTTTTAAGTTCTGAATCCCTATTTCACCATCTATCAGTTCCCCAACTCTCATACCTAGCCACTTAAATGGAGTGATAATCCCTATTCCCCATCCCATACCCATGTACCACCTGCCATTCAGGGCATAAGCAGCAGAGTCCTAGACGACATCTGTCTAGCTGCCTGGGGTCAGGTACTGAACCATGTGTCCTGGCAAGACTGACACTTATCCCTTAGTGCTTGAGCTGACGTCAGCAGTACAGGCTTTTCTTTTTCCATAGGGTTTAAGGTGCTCTCCGAGTCAGAGCCACTTACTTACAGACGGGCAGTAGGGACACATTAATTCACACACACAGGAAATACCGCAGCTAAAGGTTTGTTCTGCACCGAGGAAGACTCAATGGGCTTGAAAATACAAAACAGCGGTCTGCCACCAATGAAGGTTTTGATATCGAAGAAGCTGCATATTCTTGGGCCAGCGATACAATATGTGCAGCAGATTTCGAAACCAAACAAGGTGAGGCTGTAAAGAGATGTAGATGCAGTGTGTAGTCTTCTCTTGGTTGGCATTAAAGAAGCTTACTGATCAATTTAATTATTTGTTTATAGTCACACAGACAGACGGGTGCAGGAACGAAAGTCTGGAAGTATTTCCCCAGCATTCTTTTAATGTGTTTGATGGATGTACTTGACCCCCTAACTGTGTCTCATATAGTCTGTTATACTATGAACAATCTCAAAATCTGTGGGATTAGTTGGTGGTGGGGTATCGAGCCTTTGCTGCCAACTATGTTGAGGTGCTTTTATTGCAGCGGGTAAATGATGAGTTTACCACCTAATTATTTCTTTATTTCTAATGTCATTATTTTTATTTGTCTTTTGCACAGCATTCGTTTGTGTCCAGTGTGCTAGACAACAAACCTCTGAGGGAGCTCATAGCTGAGGCAAAGGCTGAGGTCACCGAGGAGATCGAGGAGCACAAAGAGGAGGAAGAGGAGGAAGAGACAGAAGCACATCTGGTGTGTACCCATTTACAAAAATTTGCTAGAATTTGCAATATTGAGGCTCACAGTTGGGTATTTGTATTTGTTATTGTTTTGGTTTCATTAAGCAGGGCTGAATGTTCTGCTATCTGCCACAAATGGCGTATTCTTCATATGTATGATTATATTCTAGAGCTGAAATGACAAGTCAATTACTCAATTGGCATAAAAGTAATCATCATCAATCATTTTTAATCAGACATTTTCTAAAAAGAGGAAGAAAATAATCAGCAGATTAATCAATGCTTTAAAAAGGTAAGGTACAGCTATACTGCCTTCCGGATCTATATAAACATTTTAGTATTTTATATATGTTGATTAGGGCTGCAGCTAACAAATTAATTATTTATTATTGATTAATCGGCTGATTATTTTCTTGTGTGTGTGCATTAAAATTACCCAAAAAGATTTCCGCATTGAGAACAAGGAAAAGCGAATCAGCATTGTAAAATGACCTCAAAATGATTGATCTGTTTATTGATTTATCTATCAGAAGTGTTTCAGGGCTCATGGTCATTGGTCATTACATTACCCCTATTTTGTTATGGCTTTTGGAGACCATTCCTAACTTATCTTACTCAACCTCTTCTTCAGGGCCACAAACGTGCTGCCTCTGATGTCAGTGTTGCCAGCTCAGAGGATGAGAAGGTCCCCCTCTCTCCCTCCATCTTGGAATCAGTCCCTGAGAAGGTTGAGCCAATTCTGCCTGTGCCAACACCCACTGAGCTCCCTGTGGCCAACCATGTGCTGGACACTAGCTCTGTGGAGGAGCCCACTGCCCCTGCAGCTGAGGAGCGCCCAGAGGAGATTTCAAACACTCCAGTTGAGGATGGAGAGGTAGAACAGAAACCAGTGGAGGAAAAGCTTCCAGAAGCAACAGTAGATGTTGCCTCCCCAGAACCAGAACCAGAGGCTGAACCAGAACCAGAGCCAGAACCAGAACCAGAGGCTGAACCAGAACCAGAACCAGAGGCTGAACCAGATCCGCCTGCTAAAGAAATGCAGCAGCTGGAGATTGCCGTTGAGGATGAAAAGGAAGTGGACACAGCCGAGGTTCCAGCCAACACACAGGCAAGCACAGAGAGTTCAGTCACTGAGGCTCCTCAGGACGAAAAGATGGCCGTTGTGGAGGAATCAAACACACCAGCAGAAGAGGAGGACCAATACAAACATCTAAAGGTGACACTGACACTACCAGAGCAAGATAAAGTTGTTCCAAAGGAGGAGAATGGAGAGAAACCCACAGAAAAGGATAAAAACAATGCAGACGATGAGAAGTCAGTTCCAGACAAAGCTAAGGATGACAAAGAGAGAGACTCAGACTCAGGGACTGGCTCAGCCGCAGATAACAGCAGTGTAGACCTGAATCTGTCCATCTCGAGCTTCCTGTCTAAAACAAAAGAGCGAGGATCTGTTTCCATACAGGTAACTGCCATAGTCCACAGTTCTAAATATCAGAAACTGTATTACAGACTTGCATTGCAACAGATACATCCATAAACTTTTAACGTTTTCCCAGGACACCAGACGCCAGAAGAAGACGCTGAAAAAGACTCGCAAATTCATTGTGGATGGAGTGGAAGTTAGTGTGACTACATCAAAGATCATCACTGACAATGATACCAAGAACGAGGAGATGAGATTCCTGAGGTATTCACCTGCCCTCATTTGCATACGCCCTGGGTGTCAGTTTTATGCAAATATTATGTAAATACATTGCCTGAGAACCTTAGTGTACTGACTGTGTGGAGTTAATCTATCTTAATGAATCTTTACATCACCATTTCAGAACTCAGTTAGAGTTTGTGTGTTCACCACTGTCACCTGCTTTAAACTGAAAAAAAAAAAAAAAAAGATTTACATAATTTTTCTTTTGTTCTCTCCCACCACCTTCCTCCACCTCTGCAGACGCCAGGAGCTGAGGGAGCTGCGTCTCCTGCAGAAGGAGGAGCAGAGGTCCCAACAGCAGCTCAGCAACAAGCTGCAACAGCAAAAAGAACAGATCTACCGGCGCTTTGAGCAGGAGACCACAGTGAGTCACTCAAGTGTCGCAGCTGAGTGCTAATTATGCCTTATAATCTGTGATTTACGGGCTGTCTATGCTATTTCTGACTGCCTTGCACCTGAATAGACTGATATGCATGAAAGCATGTGGTTTTAGCCTGACAACTGACGTCCATTTGCTTTAAAATGAAGACTCACTTGAAGTCTTCAGAACTGGCTAATGACCTAAATTGAACTGGAGAAGAAAAACGTAACTGTGATTTTTTTGATCCCCGGCTCCTCCTGCCACATGTCGAAGTGTCCTTGAGCAAGATACTGAACCCCAAATTGCTCCTGATGCTGTGCATTGGTGTGTGAATGTGTATGTTACTGTGTGGAGGCATAAAGTTGTTATTGGCTGTTTCTGTTTATCCCTGTTAGTTTATCTTAACTGATGTAGTCTGGCTCATGTTACTGTTTTCCATATATTGCATTACATTAAATAATTTGCAGTGTTTATTATTGTGCTTGTTTTGATCAGAAATTCGTGCAGTGCCTATTAGGCCTTTTTTTAAACTCTGCTGGCTGCCTCATTCCTTTGAAAAGTGATGCATACAGTTAATGGCCTCTCAATTTTGTATGAATCCCATGTTGTCTGCTTCTTAAATATTGATTGTGTTATGAGAAAGTTGTGTATTTTTGGTTTTATCTTTCAGGCTGGAACAATGATTCATGCTTAGGCTTTGGATATTTGGCATCTACCAAACATCTTTCACATTGGCAGCTTCTTAAGACTCCTCCAAGATTTTTCAAACAGAATTGCTTCTTTTTTCACAACAATTCATTTCACTAATGTGATGTGACCCCTCTGTGTCCTACAGAGTAAGAAGCGTCAATACGACCAGGAGGTGGAGAACCTGGAGCGGCAGCAGAAGCAGACGATCGAGAGGCTGGAGCAAGAGCACACCAACCGGCTCCGGGACGAGGCCAAACGCATCAAAGCCGAGCAGGACAAAGAACTCTCCAAGTACCAGAACATGCTGAAAAACCGCAAGAAAGAGGTGAGCATGTGGACCACATCACTTTTCATTTCCCTTGGCCACATGTATTCCCTTAAGAGGGTGGGATAGCTTATAAAGTCGCTATTTATAGTAGGTTGTTTTGATACTTAGAGACACACACACACACACACTAGTCTCTGATCTGTCTAATAAGCGTTTACATAACCACTGTTTAGCTGCAACAGGCTAAATCGGTCTGCGCTGCCACTTCTCATTTATTTTCTCACATAGTACTAATCTATCCAGAGCTGGTGTCTCTTTTTATTTCCATCTATTGCTCATGGCTGCCCTGACACAGGGCAATCAGGAGGTGGGACTTTCTCCAAAGCACGTGACACACACTATCATGAAACGTATTAAAGAGGATATTATCCAAGCCCCGCAAGAGGAGGTAATGAGGGCTTGGTTTGCTGTGAAATCTGAACTTTGACACACACTACCTGTTGCTCTTAGCTCTCGTCTGTGTGTCTTTTATTGGAACAGACTTCAGACTGTGTGAGGGTGGCGTGCACAAATATCCAACATATTATTTATTGTGCTGTTAGATCCCGTTTTTATAACTTCTCTTTTCCAAATTCTCCACCTACCTGAGTTTGCAGTGCCCACCACAGGTTCACAATGTGTGTGTGTGTGTGTGTGTGCAGTGTTTAGTGCAATGTGTAGGAGGGTAATCTACTGTGATCCACAGGGAGTGGCCCATGTTATGATTCAGTCCTTTCAGTTGTCCTCGTGCACCCTGTGCAACGGTCCCATACAGGATGTAAGTGAAACCCCTCAATCTGGCCTCTTTCTTGTGTTTCTTCAAGCATGACTCATTACTCTTGAGACTACACTCTTTTTCGATACATCAGTACATGCAAAAGGGCCTCTAAAACAGTACTAGGAAGTGGACAGTACTTCAGGTTCAGTACTTGGCATTGAAAAAGTTTTATAAGTTGTTCTTATTGTTCTGTTTTGATCTAAATCTTTAGGGTAATTTGTAGACATTCAGAGACATGGAATAATAGAAAGCTTGAACACTTGAGCACTACAAGAGCGTGTAAAAAGTTTTCTGTGTGCTAGGTGAGCCAGGTAGGCTGGATTAATGAGAATGACAAGCAGGTGAAACAGTCTTTACTGCCAGTTGTGACCGTCTGGTTCATCAGCTCAAGCCGGGCTTAGCCTGAAGTGAACTTTGCACAAAGCCTGTAGGTCAGGAAACACACTCAAACGCTCACACGCACTCCGCTGGCCTCGTAACACCCATCCTGCTGAATGTATTGATAAAGGTTTCTGTTAGCCTAGTTAGTGAGGCACTGCTACAGAGACAGACAGAAAGCATCGTCTCCTCTAAGAGTTTACTTTAATTGAATTTTTCTTAGCAGCCATTTTGTCATTAAAGAGTAGGGCAAATACAGGTGTTACCAATGATACTAATCAGGATTAAACAGAGTCAGGGTGATGTTGTATATATTGGCTCACTGGAAAGGCTCTGCTACACTAAATGGAACAGAACCTTAATTAGTGTCATTAGTAACACGTGTGTTTACCCTACTATTTCATGTCAGAATAGCTGGTGTGAAAAAGGTCAGGGGTTCTGTGATTCTTTTGATTGCGCCTTTCTTTCATTCTTTGTGTGCTGCAGTTTAACACCTGGCCCTGGTTTTCCTCATGTCATTTCTAATCTCCTTCCGTTATCCTTACGACCAGGAACAAGAGTTTCTGCAGAAGCAGCAGCAGGATCTGGACAGCGCTCTGAAGAAGATTATCCAGCAACACAAACACGAGCTCGCCACTATCGAGAGAGACTGCCTCAACCACAAGCAGCAGCTTCTCCGAGGTAAAAATTGAACCGTTAAAAAAATGTAAATAGGGTTAGGGTTATATAAATTATTAATTAATAAATACAGTAAGCCTTATATGAATACATTTGCTCCCTAATTGCCATTTGCACAGGTTTCAAATGCGAAAAATGCCCACTACACGTCACCTGCCTGGCACCAAACGGCAGACAGAGTTGGCGAGCAGCTAGAGAGCATAGTGTAGCATTTAACTAAAGACGTGGATATTTTCTGAAAAGTTAGTCGAGACCAAAACAGAGCTAAAAAGACATAATATCATACTCCAATGACTTTTGATGACAGTAAACCCCACTAGATTCTTACTCCAAGCGTGTTAATGCAAACATTATTCACAAATCCTGTCTGGCTGGCAGCAAGCCTGTTTTTTTCTCAGTCACATCTTGATGTGTTTAGTGTCACAGCATCAAACATCCCATATGTAGCAACTCAGATCAGCAGTAAACAAGTTCCCTTTAGAGGCAGCCTGAATTCTGTCAGACCACATTCCTCCTAACACCGACTGCAGCCCCTCCAACTGGACTGCAGTGAACAGCAGCCTGTTAGCAGTTAGCCCGGGACTTAATCCTACGCTTTATGTGCCAGGAACTGCACAAACAACACTTCTCAGAAATGCTCACTGAACCAAGTCACGGGAGGTTGTAACTGTGCTTTAGGAGCTTGTAAATGGCTTTCACTGGGGATAGAAACTGTAAGATAGTTCAAAGCTGAAACCTCATTAGTAAAGTTGATGTTGGTTGACGCACAGACACACACACAGACACAGTATCTCAAACATTCAGCCTTTTGCTTCTAATGAGGTAACTTCGGCCCACAACTGTTGTGTGTCTTCTGCTCCGTCTTGTTTCTCTCCACTGCACACCGCCTAGTATGAGACATAATGCTGAGGAGATATTCCCCTCCAATAAGCCTGTGAATGCTTCTTCTGTGTAATCATTTGTCTTTTGTTCACTTGTGTGTCTGCAAACAGCACGGGAGGCTGCCATGTGGGAGCTGGAAGAGCGCCATCTGCAGGAGAAACACCAGCTGTTCAAACAGCAGCTCAAAGACCAGTACTTCATGCAGAGACACCAGCTGCTCAAGAGACACGAGAAGGTACTGGCTGGATGAGGGGTGAACTCAGCCTTATTGTAGTGCTTAAATCTTCAGGATTAACCTCCATTGTTTAGTTTGTGAAACAATAGGCTCGAGAAATGTATTTCTAAATGTTCCAGCATTAAGTTTGGAACAGTTGCTCTGGAAGCTCCCTCCATGCTCTGTGTCTGCTGCTGTGTGCCCTGTACAGGAGATGGAGCAGATGCAGCGCTACAACCAGCGTCTGATCGAGGAGATGAAGAACAAGCAGACGCAGGAGAGAGCCAGACTGCCCAAGATTCAGCGCAGCGAGGCCAAGACCCGCATGGCCATGTTCAAGAAGAGCCTCCGCATCACCGGAGCCGTCATCAGCCCCGAGCAAGAGAGGGAGAAGGTCAAACAGGTGACTAGCAATATGGAATGTAATACGATTAAATAAACCTTTTCTTTGTCATGTGAAGACTTATCGTGTCTCTGTTTTCCAGTTTGCTGCCCAGGAAGAGAAGAGACAGAAGAACGAGAGGCTCCATCAGCATCAGAAACATGAAAACCAGATGAGAGACCTGCAGCTGCAGTGTGACGCCAACATCCGAGAGCTTCAGCAGCTGCAGGTAGAGAGCCAGCAGGACTTTAATGTGGAAATGAACAGGAAAAACATCAGATACACATTATTGTTACCACACTGTTTGTATATTTGTCTTTAAATGAAAATGTTAACAGCATTTTAATGGACAATTATTATCCACTCTTTAAATGCAGTCTTGTTTTACTTTACCATTACAGCTAAAAAGGGCTACCTTAGCAACAGTAGCATGTAAAAACCCTCTCTTGAATATACTAACTTGTGTGTGTCTGTGTGTCTGTGTGTCTGTGTGTGTGTGTGTGTGTGTGTGTGTGTGTGTGTGTGTGTGTGTGTTTTGTGTGTGTGTCTGTGTGTGTGTGTGTGTGTGTGTCTGTGTGTGTGTCTGTGTGTGTGTGTGTGTGTGTGTGTGTGTGTGTGTGTGTCAGAATGAAAAGTGCCACCTGCTGATCGAACATGAGACACAGAAGCTGAAGGAATTAGACGAGGAGCACAGCCTGGAGCTGAAGGAGTGGAGGGAGAAACTCCGACCCAGGAAGAAGGTACAGTGTCTGTTACACTGGGATGATGAGGATGATGATGATGATGATGATGATGATGACTCCTGTACTTTTCAAATGTCCCAAGATTTAGACTTTTCATTTTTGTATTATGAATAATAAAAAACTGACAACCAAAACAATATTAGCCACATATTGTTTCTGGTCCCTCACAGTGTAATAGATGTGAGTGATTTGGCTCCTGTCCTACAGGCCCTGGAGGACGAGTTTGCCAGGAAGCTGCAGGAACAGGAAGTGTTCTTCAAGATGAGCGGAGAGTCAGAGTGCCTTAACCCCTCCACCCAGAGCCGCATCTCCAAGTTCTACCCGATCCCCAGCGTCCACTCCACCGGTTTCTAGAAGAAGCCAACGTACACATGCATAGACACACACACACACACACACACACACACACACACACACAGACAGTAAAGCCTGTGCTGCCTTGCCTTTATTCTCGGAAAACTGTTGGAGGGCATTTCTGTTTGTTGACTTTGTCCCTCAGTCTGCAGCTCAGCTCTCCAGGACCCTCATTTTCTCCCACTATTATAGTCATTTGGAAGGAGATATTTTCAGATTCAAGGTGCCGGTCAAAACCTCAGAACCACTGTAAGAAGTAGCTCTCTGTCCAACCTTCTGTTTGTGATTGAATTGTTTTTTATAAAGAATCCAGTGCCTGTAGAATTTGATGTTTGAGGCTTTTAAATCCAAGAAATTTCTGATAATTATTTGCTGCTCAATTCTTCTCTCATTTAGACTTTTGCACTAAAGAAAGGTTAGCATTTTTAACATAATGTTGATGATTTTAATATGGTTAAATATAAATAGCAACCCTCTCATTTAGAACTGATGATGAAATAGAATGTATTTCTGACAAAGGAGACCCATTTTTCATATCACTCTTGTTGAAGGAATGATGCAGTATATTTTTGATTCAATCACATGTGTTAGGATTGTGATGTGTTATGAGTTAAAATAATCAGTCTCATTCATGATCTCAAAGCAAGCTTTAGGAACGTTTTCCAGCAGAAATGATTCCTTCCGGGTTTTTCTTCAGGTTGCCTTCCTGTCTCGAGCACAATGCTTGAGATTACGATTTAGCAACGAGCAGCAGAGGTGGACACTTGTTTGTTTGTGGACAGTAGAGGAGGTGTGGAGATGGTGTTTACAAGCCGAGACAAAGGATCACTGTTAATGGGACACTAAGGAAACCACTGTGGTGGCAGACACAAGCATTATGTACCTGTTTGTTGGTCTGGTTTGTGTTGTTTTAGGTAACACCACTTTATTATTGTCATGCTAGAGTTCTGTATCTATAGTATTCAGGGATGAATAAAGAATGCAATGTTTCAATGATGTCCAATTCAAACTACAAACAGCTCTTAGTTCAGCTAGTTGAAACAAAACTCACCTAACCTGCAGTCAAAGATGATGATGATGATGATGATGCTGCCTCCTTTGTATTTGCTTTGGTTTTCTTCCTATGCCTCCTCATAAGGTATTTTGCTACCAGGTGTATCTTGGGTAGGCCTGCATGGCTTTTCTTCCTTTTATTGAAATGATAATACTGTTCTCATTGTCATGCTAGCTAATAGCCTTAATACTTCAGAAAAGCTGTAAGGATATTCTGTGTACCTAATATGACCGCCTTTAAAGGTTTGGGTCAAACTCCAGGTTTCATGCCAACTTAATGTTCTCTGACTGAAGCACAGTAACAGGTTCAGAATTATTGCATCTGTATTCAAAGAAACAAAAACAGAACACAAGCTCTTAGTTGGTGTTTTTTTATTTAGGTTGATGTATTGATGCAGTAGTAAAAACAAACAGAAAATGGACCTGACTGGTTTAGGCCATCTTGACTTGTGATTGGTTCATTTTATCATCTCATTTTCTTTATGATTGGCTGTTGAGGGGTTACGGTTAGTCAAAGGTATTTTAATAACTGAGCTGTTAATGTACGATAAATGCAATGAAGGAGTGCTGTGCACCTTTTTACAAAGCTTTCTCAGTAGCTATTTATTTGGAAGTGTAGCACTCTGCAGCCTGTGTGGTGAAGCTTACTCACTCATTGGATGTTTGCAGCATACAAAAATAGAATTACAAAACCTGTCAACCTTTGTTCTGTCTCAGTTAGATTCTACTAAACAATGAGTAAATTCATTAAATTCTGAATGTTGAATGAAAAAATCCATATCAAAATCATTGTGCTTTCTTTTTTAAAGATAAATGTATAGTTTTTAGACTGCCTGTGTAATGTAGATTTTCATTTTGCTGTAAATAAACATTTTGCTCTGTACTGTAGTTATGTTTTCATGTCATTCCATCTGGGCATACAGCTGTAATTAACTAAAAACTAAAAAGCTATGAAATAAAAACATACACATATTTTTTTTAAAAATGAGTTAGAAAATGCCCACCAGTATGACAAAGTGAAAGTCAACACTCGGTTCAGTCCCCCAAAATAAAAGATTTCACCCCCTCTGCATGACGGCCCATAATACATCCAAAACTGTACATCACAACTCGGCCCAGAAGATATAAAAATACAATCACAAATCATCTATAAAAACTCATACATTGGTAAAAAGCATCCACTGTCTGTTTCACTACATTTATCCCCTTTATACACACCAGAGAACTCCAGTACAGACTCCTTATATTCAGTAACTTGACCCTTAAACGCCAACGTCCCTCCTTCTTCTTTTAGTCATCAGTGTGTGTTCTCCTGAAAAACAACAGTTTGATTCAAATGTTGCTGATGATGTAACCTGCACTGGTTTCCTGCTTGTTCTATCACATTAAATCAAACATTCAGAATGAATAGCACATCTCTGGAGCAGGGCCCCTTCCTTCATATCGTATCAGCTACCTTTGTTCTTCAGACACATTCGACTGGTTTGTTAGTCTCTCTATCTCAAAGAAGTGTTGGTTGTGAAAAAAAGCCAACATGAGTAACTTTGCAATTAGACTTAGTAATAAGGAACTTCCTTGTTGTTCTTGTAAATGTGTAACTTTAATCTTATCTCAATTTCTAAAGGATTTTCTCGCAAAGCTCCCCCAGCTCCATTCTTTTTTCCTACAGTGGCCTTAATACACTGTTGAAGGGACCAGGATAGGATAGGTTTTTCAAGTCTGTCTTAAAACAATAGTCAGTAACATTGAAACAGGTTCTGCCTGCTGTAATCACCCATGCTGGCCAATAAAAGATCCCTTCCATACATTCTGTCAATGTATGTGATAAAAACTGCAGTCATGATGTAAAACTGTTTTCAAATGTTTATCTGGAGTTAATGAGGTTTCAGCAGTCTGATTCAGTCTATTTGTAGTAAGAATGAATCAGGCTTTAATCATAATCGAGTTAGACAAATAAAGTGAATATCTTCCAAAGTTACAGTGTTTTTATTGCTAAATTCCCTCTTTGTGTTGCTTTGTGTTTTTCTTTGTGTTTCCTGCAGTGGATCGGGTTCAGCTAACTCAATTTAGTTAACTAACTAACTAATATATTTTTTCACTGTACAAGGAATGTGGATTTTTTTCCTCCATCACTTGGCTCAGCTCACCATGAAGGGATCTCTTAATGGCCAGTATGAGCAGGAGGAATGATTACATGATTATATGAGCACCTTATTGTTTTTTTAAGATAAACATGAAAAATTGTGAACTTATCTAATATTTTCTACTCTATACCTGCCATAATTTTTATTTTTTATCCCAAACTAAATTTAAATTGCTGCATTTTTACTGTACATGCTTTGTTTTATTGTGTATCCTATAGGTATGTTATGTTTCATTGTGAAAATTAAATTGTGATAATTAGACGAAAAGATCTTTTTTACTGTATTTGTTCCAATCTAAAACTTATTATATCAACATTTTTGTGAAAATGAGTTCATTCATGGGGTTCACCTTGAAAAGTAAAGTACATTTTGTCAGTTTGAGAGTCGCTGACAGCAAATCCAGCTAAACTTGAAGCAGGTTTAGAAAAACTGAAAAATCCAGGCTTTTGTCAAGTTGTCAACAATGAAATCAATCTAAATCAGGAATCCATGTACGAAGAATGGGGCCCAGCTCCTAATGTGAAATGACAGCTACTGACCTCTGTCACCTTTTTGTCCTCTGCGTCCTTCAGGCCCAGGGAAGCCTCGTTCACCTGTGTCCACACAGAGTAGAGAGCTTTGAGATTGAACAAAATATACATTGACAACAACATGCCAAATGTGATTATATATTTACAGTTATCATAGATTTTATAATATAAGATGCTACTGAAAAACATATTTAAAAATTCTGTGGCTTACATTTCACTTTTCAAAGTGAAACGCTATGGTCTGATGTAAAGGTCCAGTGTGTAGGATTTAGTGGCATCTACTGGTGTAGTTGCAGTTTACAACACCCTCGATTCACCCTCCCGTTCCACGCATGTAAGAGAAACTAGCCAGTGTTTGGTTTGTCTGTTCTGGGCTACTGTAGAAACATGGTGGTTCAACATGGCGGGTCCATAAAAGAGGACCCGCTCCTTCTGCAGATAAAGACAGCTCATTCTAAGGTAACAGAAACAGTAACACAACAATTCTTATTATACACTAATTAAAAGGTATCTATAAATATTCTATTCCATTTCTGCCCACAGATCCTCCTGAATGTTACACACTGGACCTTTAAGTGAGAAAAATGCTGTGGTTTCCTTTGTCGGGTGAAGGGTGGTTAAAGGTTTTATGTCGCAATAAAGTCTGAAGCCTTACAACCAGTAGCAAAGTAGTTCTGAGACTGCTTTACAATTCTAGTTCCAAACAGCACTTTTCCCTTTCTTTTTCTTTTTTGATGTACCTCTCTTACCTTTTGGCCCTGGGAATCCTATGTCCCCTTTCTGTCCTGGCCTCCCAGGTGGTCCCATAATGGCTCCATGTGCTGTCAGAGGATAAATTCATTTCATCATCATGCTTTCCTCACACCCTTTAGCTTTTTCATTACTGGGCAAATGTTGAATGTGACATTTTAACTGGTAAATGCTTCTTTACTTTTGATGTATTCTACTAAATCAGTGGCGCTTGCATCGGAACCAAACAATCGGCTGTATCCGGGGGGACCCGCAGGGCCAGGTGGTCCCGGCGGTCCTTGGGCGGCACGTTCATTGTGGTTCCGTTCAATGTCACGCAACAGACCATGAGCTGGGAAATACCAGAGTGGAGGATTAGTGTCAACCAGCACTTCTATCAGTTGTGCTTTATTGTAACAGCATAGTACAAATTGCTTACATCTGATGTATTCTAACAGATCTGTGGTGTTTCCATGGGAACCAAACCATCCAGCGGGACCCGGAGGGCCGGGCGGTCCTGGAGGTCCTTGGAACATACGACTGTTGTATTCCTTCACAATGTCATGCAGCACACCGTGGGCTGCAAATGAGAGAAAACTCTGTGATGTAACCCAAAGAAGTCAAGGCTTTTCTCACTCAGCTCTGAAGTCAACCAGCAGAGTAGAATCTTGAACCTATTCGCTATTGTTGTTTCAGCAGCTCTCAATCTGCAAATGAATGCAGATGAATATTTGGAAAAGAAAATAAAAAGCTAAATCGTTGTCAGAAAATTGTCCGAAAATGCATTTTCAGAGCCCAGATAAAATTTTTCTCTCCACATGAACTGTTTACCTGCGTGCAACCAAAGCCTGCTCATATGTGATAAGTCAGTACTTTTTGGAGTACAAACAAAAAACCAGAATGCTCCCAATGCCAAAATCCTGTACCTACAGATTCTGCATTCATATGGAGGACAGTAAGGTAAGGCCATGTAAATTCAGCACAGTTCACAGAGTGAGAAAATTTGTCATGTCTTGTTTATGAAAAAACTAGATCACCTACATTTGATGTAATCAGTTACTTTGACAGCCATACTGGAGTAGTCTCTAGTATCCAGGCTCCAGTCTCTGGTGCTGGGCACTCCTGGCTCTCCCTTGTGTCCTGGAGGTCCAGGAGGGCCTGGTGGACCAGGATGTCCAAACATAGCTCCTCTTGAACTGTCACCTGGAGTCAATAAAACATAAGATGAGTTAAAAGGAACCAATGACTTCTTAGTTGACTATAATACAGACAGATTGTTGAAGTGACATTTCTGTGAAGGTCTATGTCAAGAATGTGCCATTGAATGAAGGGTTTTTAACAGCAAGCCTTGTGCATGTCCAACTAGTATTCTATCTATCTATTAGCAGAAATGGAATGTGATATTCACAGCTATGTTTTCGCATGTTTAAATGCTATTGTAGTTTCTCCTACATTCTTGGAACAGGAGGGTGAGGCAAATGTGATGCAATTGGCAACTACATACTATATGCCACTAAATCCTACACACTGCACCTTTAAACCTTACGCATGCCCTCAAACAAGTCAAGGACCAGGACTTCACACTTTAGCTTTAAAGCTTTCCACAGGTTTAAACTGGTGAATATTCCTTTAAACTCACTCCTGACGTATTCTTGTTGTTCTGCTTTAAGCGTGTCTCTGTTGGCATGCTCAGCATATGAAACCAGTCCGCGTATTTGACCAGGGGGGCCCTCGGGTCCAGGGGGTCCAGGGGGGCCCGGTGGGCCTCTGAAGGCAACACCTTTGGGAAGACAATAGAACAGATGTGGAGGCAGATTAAATGTTAAGTATGTTTTCTCAGATAAATTCCTCATTAAGTGGTGAAGTAAATGTTTTGACTCACTTTGCAGATAGTCATGAATGTCTGAACTGATGTAGTTCGCAAATCCTGGTGGGCCAGCTGGACCTTGTGGACCAGGGATACCTGGGGGACCAGGAGGTCCCTGAGGGCCCACATGTCCTTGGTACCCACCTAGTTGGATAATGAAAGTGAACATCTGGTGACTTGAGAATGCTACTTGATCTAATGACTTCAGAATGAACACGACAAGCTCAAAATCCTGGTTTTACTGGGAGGCTGTCTCTCTGTTGTGTTTCTTACCTGATAACAAGTTTCCAGGAATACCAGGAGGGCCAGGAGGTCCTGGGGGTCCAGGGACACCTGCCACTCCTCTATCTGATGACAGACAGGATCCACAGTCAACCACAATCAAGTTCTCTCAATAGGTAGCCTATAGGTCCTCCTGTAACACTCACCATTCATGAGGCTGAGGACACGTTCAGCCACCTCCTGGGTGTTGAAGCTGTAGCTGCCGTGACCTGGATCTCCAGGAGGTCCTGGCGGACCGGGAGGACCGGAACCTGCAGAAAGGTATCTCCTCACGTCGTCTCCTGGACAGAAATAATTGACACACTTTGAGAGATAGTCTCACGTGCTATGTGATGTGAGGAAAGCTTTGTTACAACTGGAAACACAGAGGTAGTAGCAGTGTGCATTATGTAATCTGTCAGGATACTCCCTCAAATGAAACTTACGTTGTAATATGCTGATGATGTCGTTGAAAGAGATGGAGCCAGGTGGACCTGGAGGACCAGGAGGGCCAGGAGTCCCATCATATCCTCTACCTGAACGTTGAAAGGTAAAACTTACAAGTGGTTTTCTCACATACAGACACCCTGTGTAATAACAGCTGTAACATTATTATGTAATTGGTCATACTTTGGATGTAGGCCATAACTCGGTTGGCCACATCGTCGACCAACCCGTCTCCTGTGTTCCCTGGAGCCCCTGGAGGACCGGGAGGCCCAGGAGGTCCAGCCAGGTACTGCTGCCAGGTACCACCTGCATGTCAAGACAATTTTGTCTCAAACTTAGCTCTGTGTTTCATTCAATTGCAGTGTAACATAAACCAAAGTAAATAAACACATAGCTTACTCTGAAGGTATTCTGCCATGTACTGGCCCACATCAATTGATCCAGACCCACTTCCACCTCTTCCAGGTGCACCAGGTGGACCAGGTGGGCCTGGGGGGCCGGGACTGTATGAGCCACCTGGTATGATAACACAAATTATTTAATGAAATCTTGTGTAAATGTCGAAACATTTTTTTTTTGTAAAATAGCAATTTGAACGATATTTTAGAAGACTATTATTAATACTATGACTATAATAATAACTGCTATTATTACTTTCGAATTATTAGCAATACCATTCGACCAAGCAGCAATGAGCTTTGCTGAGTGGTGAAACCAATGAAGTACTGTACTTTACTTTAATCTGCAATGGTCACTTTTTTTTTAAATGTAAAGTTTTCTACAAGAAAGGTTCCAGATTTTTGTCTTTTTCAAACTTGTAGTCTTCATCCTTAAGAGTTTCACTTAAGATTAACTCTCCCTAACCCTTTGTCATTTGACAGGGATAGCAGGGTGTAGTGAGGTACTGCTAGTCTCAATGAGAATCAACTTTCCAGCTTTTACTGAGAGCTACCCCTAGTGGTCAAAAATGTCTTAATGAATTCATAAAAAGAATTCACGTATTTGTCAACTATAAACAGAGATCCTGCAATCGTGCATTCTGGTCTGGAACAGCAAAAGAGCTGTGACATGTAACACAACAGTGCCTGCATTTTACACAGAAGTCGATTCCGCTCTTTTAATTCCTCCGCTGTTGGCTTAAAGGCAGGACAACAATTTTTCATTTTCTGTTCATACCCAACTTCCTGCCTTGAGCAGACTGTATAAATTGGGGCTATAGTTGCTGTGCAACTGTAATAACAGCATTGGTGATTATGATTAAAGATACATATATATGATATGATATGATTTGATATGATATTCAGGATGGTCTTACCAACGGATGCTCCAGGGTGTCCTGGTGCACCAGGGGCTCCTGGGTCACCTGCAAGGAACATATAAACAGTATGAGGGACAAACTCCAGTGTTTGTTGACTTGACTGAATAAAAGCAACACAGGGAAAGGGGGAACAGAAAGTATGGGTAACCAATCGCTATGGTTAAATCCTGTATGATAACACATGGGCAAAAGCACAGGACAGTGTAACAAGTCTGTAAGAGAGGATTTGAAGAAGGTCACTCGAAACATTTGACTGAGTTTACCTTTAGGTCCTTGTGGCCCCTCTGGGCCTGGTGGACCCTGAGGGCCAATAGTTCCAATAGATCCAGGCTGACCTGGGAAACCTGAAAATCATAACACTGATTTATTATCTGGTAAAAGAGCATGGAGGTTCATTATGGACCCTTGAAATATCTCAAAATAAATCCACCTGCTGCTGAAAGCCACAAGATCCAAATGTTTTTTTAACTATCTTAGCAAAGTGTTAATCTGGTCATTTTCTTTTCAACAAGCCTCTATGACAGTTAAAAAAGTAACAATGTCCCCAAAGGTTTATGTGAACGGCAGGGAAACTGGAAAGCTGGTATGTATTTACTCTAAAACCTAAACTCATTTTCTACATAGCAGTCCCACAAATATTCTTTTTTAAAATCCATCTTATGGTAAATGGACCTGTACTTGTATAGCGCCTTTCTAGTCTTAGAGCACTTTTAGTCTACGTGCCACATTCACCCTTTCACACACATTTACTCAGTGATGGCAAAGTCCATCGAACAGAATCTAACTCATTCATACACCGATGCATGGCATTGGGAGCAATTTGGGGTTCAGTATCTTGCTCCAGGATACTTCGACATGTGGCACCAGGAGCCGGGGATCGAACCCACAACCTTCCGATTAAGGAAAGACCCGCTCTGCCTCTGAGCCACAGCCACCTTATCTCAAAGTTTTTCACATACCAACACCTGGTTCCCCTGGACTCCCTGGAAGACCTGGTTGACCTGGTTCACCTGAAACAATCGTCATTACATTATGCCTTTAAAAGTCTGTAGTTTCTAAACACTGCAATAGATGCCGTAGTTTGCAATTTTCTCACCTTGGTACCCTTGTATCCCTTGGCCACCTGAGGACAATGAATGAGATAAAAGAAATCTTCTGTGAACAAGAACCAAATCTTTTTAAAGAAGTATCCCAAGTCTTATGTTGACCTGCCTCAGTTTCAGAAATATTCTGCAGGGATGATTTTTGTAGGCCAACCCAGAAGTTAAGATTGTCCTGGTTCCAGTGGGACTTTTCACCTGGATTTTAGATTATTGCAGAAAATAAGCTCTGTGGCGAACAAAGGTTCATAATGCCTTGTTTTGTTCAGCAAGATAATCTTCACAAATGAACACCACTTTTAGGATTTTTGGAGCGTAAATTTAATCGTCATAAGTTAAAATCTAACCTTAAGCTGTAAACAAACTACACCATTGTAGCAGGACTTCAGCGTCACAACCACTAAACTTCCAACTTGTTTGACTTAGAGTAGCAACAATATAGAACAAAACATGAAAATCCCTTAAGCTTGAGTTAACCAAAGACATTATTTCAGGCACGTAACCAAAAACCCATTCAAAAATGTGTTGATTTTGAGGCGTGGGAACCAAAGGTGTTTTAGTTAAGTTGAAGTTTTAGGACTTTTAGGACAGCACTCTACAGTCCTATGAACTACTTTTTAAGAAAGGATCACAGTGTCTAAAGGAGCATCTGATTTGTCAAACCTACCTCCTGGACCCTGCGGGCCTGGGGGTCCTGGAGGTCCTGGTGGTCCAGCAAAAAAGGTTTCTAAGACAAAAAAGGGAAGGATACATCAAATGTGGCAAGTGAAGATGGTAGAGGTTAAATATGAAGTGTCCAGCTGTCTAAAGACTTACAGTACATCTGAAATTAGATTTCTTTCACCAACCTGAGTTAGGCACAAAGCTGCCGGGTTCTCCTTTCTCTCCTGGAGGTCCAGGTAAACTAACACCTGTAAGGACAGCAACACAGTGAAATGAGAGAGAAAATTATCACTTTTTATTTTTACATTGCTTAAATCATGCTGTATGCTGATGATCTATCTCTCTGTCTGTAATGCAAGATACTTGTTTACCTGGCTGTCCAGGAGGACCTCTGCGTCCTGGGGGACCCTGTTTAGTCTCACCTAAACAAGAGTGACAGCAGCATTTGAATAATCGTCAACTGTTTGTTAATACCCATGATATCTTACAGATAGCTTTTGACATACCAGGAGGACCTTGAAGACCAGGTTCTCCAGGAGGCCCTGGAGGTCCAGGTGGGCCAGGTTGTCCAGCCGCTGAGGAAAGTTCTGTTAGAAATAATAACGCAGAGGATAGCGTTGTGTCTTATACACTGTATTTCTTGATACTACCACCAGATGGCACCAAGGTACTGAATTAAAGAAACAGAGTGGTACTCACTGTCTGTTTGGGTAGCACTGACAGATCCTGAACTTGTGGCGCTGATACCAGGCTCGCCGGGTTTTCCTTGCTCTCCCTTCTCCCCCTTTTCTCCTTTTTCTCCTGTCTCTCCTTGTACTCCCCTAGGACCTAAATAATTGTGTAAATTTTCCATCACAGAAAATCTGTTCAATATGTATTAACAATCCTAACATCCATCTAACAGTTGATCTATCCCAGATGCTTAACATGGGTCAAAAGTTTGAATTTACCAGGTTGTCCTGGGACACCAGCAGGGCCAATGGGACCAGACAGACCGGGGGTTCCAGCAGGACCTGGAGCCCCAGCAGGCCCTGGTGGTCCGGGGATGGCCACAGTATCGGAGCCAACTGGAATCAAAATTAAAGACGAATACCAGTTACACTTTACAAGACACAGTATTTTCCTATACCACATTAAAAAACGAATGCACAGTGCAACAACAGCAGCGGCTCTTACTTGGAGCGATGACTTTACCAGGTAACCCTGGTTCACCTGAAAGACAATGTTATGGTAGATTATTAATCCAACTTTACATTAGAGACCTATTAATCGTTACATTGGCCTTCAGCATTTCAAATCATAACAGAGTAATAGTAAAGATTACAATCTTGCAAATCTACAATCTTATGAAACTAGCATTAATGCTAGTTATTCTGATGTAGCTCTCACATACACATAAGTGTGTATGCAAGATAGTGGTGGCTCAAGTGTTGGCCACTTTAATCCTATCTCAATACTTTTAGATGGATTCTCATGGAATTTTGATTCCCTAACTTTTCATCTAGCGCATTGACCAAGGTACTGGCTCAGATCTGGAGTTGGTCCCTGGGCGCCGCACAGTGCCTGCCCACTGCTCCTGGTACTTAGGACGGGCCATAAGCAGAGAATGAATTTCCCTACAGGGTTCAATAATATTAATTAATTAATTATATATTATTAATTATTAATTAATAATATTTGTCCAATGATTTCATTTATGACCAAACACCTGAAAACCATCAGCCCCAGCTGTACTTTGTGTTCAGTGCTAATTAGCAAATGTCAGTGCGCTAACATGCAAAATCTGTTTGACTTTTTATAGTGAGCTTGTTAGCTGACCTGAATCAAAGCCTTCAGTATATACATGATGACCCTGCAATGTTTTGATGTTCTATGTACTATGCGTATGTATAGCAGAATAACCCTATATAAGGCCCTGTCATGCAAAAAAACACCCAAAACATTAATACAGTATTTTCCCAGAAACCAACAAGATCTCAAAAAGTGCTGTGATACACATTTTTGGTCATATTACCCAGCACTATGTGTATGTCTAAATTTTGTCTCACACAGCCCCCTCATATAACCAAAGCAGTTGAATCCCAGTAAAAGCAAAAGCTTATCAACTCCTGTGTGCTAAACTAGTTAATGACTCCTCCTCTTCTTGTGGGAATCGATATGTTTTGTGTGCATTTGGTACATCTCATACCCTGAGATGAGTTTTACCCAAAACTAAGACAGTAAACTGAGTGGGAATGGAGTGTCCAGACGCATTCATTTCTTTTTATTGGCCCTTTTTTATTTTTGTGACCAGTACCTCTGCAGCAGATGTGGAAACTTTTGATTAGGCATTACCTTTAACACCAGGCTGTCCTGGGTTTCCAGCAACTCCTGTGGTAATGGACCAGAGAATGAACATTAAAATATACCTAATTTAATTTGTAAGGAGAGTAAAATACGTTTTTGGATTTTGGTACATGCTCTCATACCTGGGGGTCCTTGAAGCCCAGGGATGCCTGGGGGAAAGAAATCTTGGTGAGTAATTGTTGTCAATTAAAAATAAGCTACGGGAAATTCCTCAGGCTGATAAACACAGTTGATTACATCACAGTTGATTATGAATGCTGCCGTTAATTAGACAGTGTTGTGGTACCTGGGGGACCAACATCTCCCTGATGTCCAGGTGGTCCTCTCACACCAGGAAGTCCGATCGAACCGCTGTCACCTGCAATTTATACAGAGAGACTGAACAGTCTTTACAGAAACAACAACTGATACAGCTTTTGTGCTCTTGCTTTGGCGGCAGCTGCAAAAAAATGTCATAACTGTTGTTTTATAACTGAGATGTGTGATCCCTGCAGCTCCAACCAATTTCTGCCCGAACAGACACATGATCTGACAGTGTGGTAGCATCATTAAACCCCTATCTGCTCATACACTGAAAGTTCTTCTGTACTTTTTATCTCTGCGTAGCTTTCTTCGCCAAATAATTTGATGTCACTGGCTTATTACCAACAAATCCACCCGTCTTATAGTATTCACAAAGCACGGTCACAGCACACATTTCTATCTAAGCAAATAATATCATGTCAGTAGTTATTCAAGCATGTGACTCTTTGAGGAAACCATTAGAATAAACTGACTGGAGATATGATGCAGTCCCCATTATATCCCTCCCTACTCTTTTTACCCTTGACATCTTATTAATGAAATATCGTATTTTCTTTTATTACAGTGCTTAAGCTACTCCTCACCTGCAATTCCCTTAGATCCCGTTTGTCCAGCAGGGCCTTGTGGTCCAGGTGTTCCTGGTTCACCTTTAATCGTGAAAACAGAAACCACCAAAATCAAAAGTTTTTTGTTATGAGGCTTTATTATTAACATTAACAACATTAACAACTTTTTAAATGCAACTTAGTAAGCCTGACTCTTATTATATATTTAACAGAATAAAATAACAGAAATACAGAATTGTAGGATATTGTTTGGTGTTTGAGATCACCATTTGAGGAGCTTTGAATATGTTTGCCTTTAAATGACCAGTGTGTGGGATTGAGTCAACTGAATACAGTTCGTCTTCCAAGCGTATAGGAGAAACTATGGTGGTGTTTGGTGTGTCTGTTCTGGGCTACTGTAGAAACATCGCAATTTAACATGGCGGCCTCCATGGAAGGCCACCCGCTCCTGCATTTTTCTGTTTATGCATTTAGCTCTTTATTTGTGAGAGAATGGAAGTGTTCATTAACCTTTCAAAAGTTACATAGACTTGCTTTAATACTGATACCCTGTTTTCATGCCAGTCAGCATCTAACCAGTTTTTACTGTATATTTTGTTGACACGATGCATCGTTAATGATATATAAAGCTATTCTGGGACACACCTGCTGGTCCACGTGGTCCCCTCTCTCCCGGGTCTCCTTTGGCTCCTGGCACTCCCGGTGTTCCTCGATCACCTGTATTAAAAACAATAAAAAGTGTCAATGGAGCGACCAGAGAGTTGGTCTAAAGTGATAAAAGCTATCCTTCCTTCTATAACTGAAGTTAATCAATCAATGTTCTGGAAAAACACAATAGCCTTTCTATGGAATTCGGTCTTTTTGTCACACACTGTCATTTCCTCTGACGACATTTTAGAATTTTAGAAGACAGAAAAGACAGAAATGTACCTTTTGCTCCTGGTGCTCCTGCATCACCTGGGAAACCCTTTAGACCCGGAGCCCCTGCAGATAAATAAAAAAGATTTAATGCATGACTGACAATGAGGACCAAAGAACAGACAAAAACATGAAAATCGTGTGGAATGGAGTCTTTACCAGGGCTTCCCAAGGCACCTTGCTCTCCACTGGCACCTAAATCAAACAGGGAAGGAAACATACTGGCTGTTGACTATTGGCATTATTAATAATATCCCTTCATGTAATACAGTGATTTGACCATATCGTTTTTTTAGCCCCTTTACTAAAAATCGCCTATACCATAATATATTACTGATTCTGATTGTGACTTGATTTAAAAAGGATGTTTTTTAATGTGTCAGACTTTCATGAATGATTGAAAGTTGAAGGGGTTTGTAAAACTGCTTTGGTCCTTTAAATGTGATCTGATCTGACCTATCATGACCTTTGACCTTACCTTTTGGCCCCACAGGTCCAGGAGCACCAGCAAGACCGGGACGTCCTGGCTCACCTTGAGATCCTGTAAAAACCGGGTTTCATTGTCAGGCTGAACACCTCAACGAATAACTTTCCATGATTCAACATGGGGCGACAGAGACATTTCCTACCTTTCTCTCCAAAACCTGGGGGTCCAGTCTCTCCACGGGGGCCCATCTGTCCCTCCCGGCCCCTCTGGCCTGGTGGTCCGTCTGGACCATGTTCACCTTTTCAGAAAGGAGGAAAGACTCAGCCCATGTTTTTCTTTTTTCTTGTGTCTCCTCATCCTCACATAATGACCTTAAATTGACTCTACCTGCACTGCCCTTTGGTCCCCTTGGTCCATCCAATCCTGGGTGACCCATCTGTCCGGGAGGACCTGAGTGGAGAAGCAACAGGGAGTGAGTTTGCCATCTTTATGGGAAGGAAAAAGCTTCAGCACATTTGCTCTCAGTCTTACCTGGTAGGCCAGGAAAGCCGCTATCACCTGAAAAAGACCAATTTATAGCCATTAGTTTCCAGTTTGAAGAGCTTGATCCTTATGTCACACACTGCTGAAGTTTGATGAATTCATTGAATGCACATAGGACAATCCCTTACCTTTTAGTCCGAGTGCCCCTGGATCACCTGTAAAGAAACAGCCAGACTTATGAAGGATATCAACAACATTTTCCAGATTATTTTATGATTTGTGCAAACATACCTTTAGGTCCTGGGTCTCCTCTCTCCCCTTTCAGTGAGTATGCAAGTGTTTCTAAAAGTATAAAAAAGTTTGGATCAGTCACTTTCAAATACGAGTTGATGAGTAGGAGTGTAAGCAAAATATAGAAAAATATTGTATTCCAATATTTTGTTTTGATATTGTATTCATTCTTAAAAACACTCAATCATTTTTTGCATGTAAACCCTCAACTGCTAAATACAAATGCAGATCCCACTGGTGTGGTTGCATAAAAAAACCTTTATTCTTTTTTTTGTTAAATCGCAATATATATTGCAATATATTGAATCGTAACCCCTGTATATCATGATACACAATGACACATTCTCACCGATACAGACTTATTAATGAGTTGATTTATTAGTGTGTTTTTTTCATGTACCTCTCACAGCATCCGAGCGGAGTTCAGACCTGACCAGCTGCTGGACGGCTCTCTGCAGGGCAGCGCTGTCATGTCCCGGTCCGCTTCCTGCACCTCCCCCTGGCCCAGCAGCCCCCAGGTTGATCCCATTGTCGGAGCGGGTCAGGGTGGGCCCAGAGGAACTCCTGTCAATGTACGACGCATCCAGTGGGTCGATGATGTTGACGCCAGAGGAGGCCGACAGCCGGCTGGACCTGGCTGACTCGCTGCCAGTGATGGCTTCCAAAGCTTCAACACGGTTTTTGAGGCGTTTCACTTCTTCACCTGTGAGGCCAGAGAGGAGATGATGGGCATGTGTAGGTCACCTTCAGTGACCCCTGTAAAGCTTAATAACAGGCTGCTAGAGAAAGCATGTTTGGGTTTGCTTTACAGTCTTACCCAGAGCGATGAGTCCAAAGAGCAGGCCGAGGAGGAGGAGCAGGCTGAGCAGGAGGCCCAGCAGCCACTTCCACCAGCTGCAGCAGGAACAGAAGCCAAAGCCTGATTTATCTTCACGGATCTCTGAGAAACAACAAAGTTGACAGAAAGGTTCAAATTTTTTCTTATATTTTCTCCTCAGACAATAAGACTGGACTGTTTGAGTGTCTAATAATAAAGTTTATATTCATCAACATATGTCTGTCCCTAGTCTCTTATTGTGCCTAGTTGTTGTAGTTTGTAGTATCTGAACTTTAATTGGGTATTTCCATTTGGGAAAATGAGTTGATTAGTCAGTTATAAAAAAAAAATAAAAGTAAAAATCAGCAATTTTTTTTATAAAAATCATTTTTCATGCAGAACAGCCAGAAACATTTCACGGTTTCAGCTTCTCAGATGTGGCAATTTGTTGCTTCTCCTTGTCCTAAACTGCAGTTATATGATCGTTTTGATTACTGGAACATTTTTTGATTAATTGTGACAATAATTCAGAATAAATGGATTGATCAAGAAAATAAACATTGGATTAATCCATAATAAAAATAATAATTTGTTGCAGCCCAATATAAAAGAGTTTCACCTCAACTAGCTACAAGAGGCAAATGCTGCTTGCATGAGTAATAAGAATCTAATTATATACTATATAACAGTATGTGGTATTGTATCATTAGATGTATTATATACAGTCAAATTTCAGTATTGAAACTTTTGATACTTTTCACTACATTGTCCTAATAATGTTTTTGTACATTTACTTGAGTAACATTTTTAGTGTTCATGTATTCAAAGAGCTATTTTAGCAATCCCATTGTGAATTTTTCTTGGGTGTTTTGGCAGTATTTGACTGTGAACACACACACACACACACACACACACACACACACACACACACACACACACACACACACACACAGACAGACAGTAACACACATACATATATACAACAGATAATAATAAAGTAAAATAGAAAAGTAGTAGAAAAGTACAATTGGGTCTATACAGTACCAGCATAGGTGGCTTTGTCTTTTGTGGCAACTTTTAGGGTTGCAGCTATAAAAAAAATTAAACAAATAAATAGAAATAATTACAAGCTGAACAAGAAGATATAATGTAAGTGATGCATCTTAAAACGAATAAGATAATAAGTTGTATATTAGTCTACATTTAGCATCTGTTCCTTCCTCCACGGTGCTGGATGATAGTTTCTGCTTCTCTCTCTTCAGTGAGTCCTCAGAGTAGGTTGCTACAAGACACAACAAGTACATCTTTACTAATCACACACAGAAAATGTTTATCTGGCGATGGCAGTGGCAATAGAAGAAGTTGAGGGAGCGGGGGACGTGTTACCAGAAGCAGTGGAGGGTGCAGCAGACATGAACTGCTTCCCTGTGTCTTTGGCCATGACCAACCGCTCTGTTTCCTTCTTGACAGGAGCGTTCTCCTTCTCGATCAGCACAAACTTGAAGTCTTTGCCTGAGGCCTCGTCAGGAGTGGGACTGCTGGGTCTCACTGTCAGAAACAAACAGCATGACATTAATAATCTATTTACATAATGAGGACCTACTATAAATATTTGGCATCCATACTCATAAACAAACCCAAAAAAAAAAAAAAAAAACACCTTTCAACTATTTTATGTAAAAAAAAAAAAAAAAAAATCTCCTTTTTTTTTTTTTATATTATTTTTTTTTTTTTTTTTTTTTTTTTTTTTAAAAAAGAAAAAAAAAAAAAGTGATTTTTTAACTAATTTTTAAAAAATTTTTTTGAAAAAAAAAAAAAAACCATTGGACAGTGACTCTGATAAAGACTAAATTATGATTTATAGTTTATTTCATGTCAAAGGAAGCACTTGTCTTAATAATAGGTCTGAGGTCTAAGATGTTGGATGTTTCAGTGACTCTTAAAAAAAAAAAATTTTTTTTTTTTTTACACAGGCCTACTTAATAATGCCTCACCTGTGGTTGTGCTAATTCCAGTACCAGATGCATTTTTCTGCACACCATAAACTGTGAAGAGACAAAAATGACAGTAGACAACAATTGTTGTTGCAATATGATATTAATAGGTGATTAGAAGAAAAGCAATGGACCTTTTCTTGATATCGGCTGTAAATCACTACATGCATGAAGACTACACATGCTTTACCTATATGTGTGTTGGTTCCTGTGGGGGAGAGGACAGTGGGACTGCTAGGGACCAGGTTATTCTGAACACCATACAGAGGAACTGAGACAGAGGGAAAAACAACAATGTGATCCACCGACATTGCCAAGCTGAGGATGTGTGCTGTTGTATGACAGGAAGAGGCTCACCAGTGCTGCAAGCAGATAGTCCACTGTTCATGGAGGGAGAGCTGAGTGTCAGGTTGTTCTGAACTCCTCCTGTGTATCGTGACACAACAGAGCACAGACTTATTTGTCCATCTATCACAGCTGGAGAATAGAATATATCATAGATTCTGGCCCTGTTCACCTATAAAAACAATCTCACACAGCAGGTTCTCACAGTAAATAACAAGATAAGGCATTCCATGAAAGCCTTTGTATGATACCTCGTTGAAATCTGCTTCAAGTGGTATTTTTTAATACTGTTATTTTTAATTCATCTTGTGTGTGTCCTTACTTTTATCTAGATTAATGTACAAAAGGAACATACTGTAGCCTATATGGGGTTTCTCTTGAAGTGTGAATGGATTTTATTTTGGAAAGTGGTTGATTTGGCTTTAAAGGGTAAGTTCACCTTAAATTAGACAAAGGCATATTTTCTCCAAGTGGTATGCAATTATGCAGATAGTATTTATGAGTTTTATGTTCTGATGTTCTGAGAAATCAACCTTTGAAAGCCAATATAAGTGAGGGGAATTAAATCCCACATGTTCTACTCAAAGCATTAAAAAAAAATATGAGAAAAACTCTATAAAATATTAAAGAGGCCATATTATGCTGTTAAGGGTTTTCCCTGTGCTTTGGTGTGTTATTTGTGTAAAAGGTCTGCACCAAAGAGTATTACATCACATTGTAACAGGCACCACCTATAGGCTGGGTGATAGTCCAGTCCCGCCCACTGAATCCCAGAGAAACTATGCATTGGGCCGTGCCTGCTCAGGCTAATGGGAGCTGGCCGACTGGGTTTCTTGGGAGGGTCTTCTTAAAGAAAAGTGTGTCAGACAGAAAAAGAATGTGTTTTTTGAACACTGAAGCACATAAACATATTATAGTAGACCTCCCAAATAGAAATATGAACCATAATAATGGCCTCTTAAAGTTTTCATCTACTTTTTGCTGTAGGACATTGTTTCTGGAAACACAGGTTGATTTTGAGTTTTTCTCATTTAATTATTAGTCCTTTGAACAGGACACACATTTACATTCATTCTATTTTTATATTCAGTTTTTTCTTTCTTTAAGGTATGACTTGAGATGAGAATGGTTAGATTAAATAGTTGTACATCTGCAATATCATTTCCTAATGGCAACCAGTTGCTGATGGTATGGGCTGACATATGTGACTGACCTGACTGGTACATTGTGGAGGAAGTGGACAGGTTGTTGGGGTTGGTATTGTAACTGTAGCTGCTGCTCACACCTCCAGACCAAACACTGCCATAGTGCTCTATAGAAGACAGAAAAATGGTAAACAGCCAGGTACAATTAAAAACTGGGGGCATGTGGAATGTACTGTAAACAATCATGCATTAAAACTCCAAAATAAATCTGACCAAAAACAGAAAACTAATATTGCAATGATGTCTGGTATTTTCATTCAGCATCTTATTTCTTATTTCCTGTTGACTGTGGACTGTTGAAGTATGAATTATAATATCAGTCTTAAAGATAACAGACATGACAGCTGATTGGTTGAACCTGTGCTGGAGCTCTCAGACATGGTCCTAGTTTCCACGCTGGCCTTCTTAGGGATGGGCAGTGTGTTGTCAGGGGACTGAGTGGGGCTGGTCTTGGAAGGGTTTCCTCTCAGCAGACGCTTCACGTCGTCCAGCTCCGTCCCTGCACAGCAGAGCTAACAGTGAGCATCAAACGGAGGACCACTCCTGCTCCAGTAACAAATTCAAATGGACTATACTTCCTGATTACATTTGCATTAGTCTCACAGTGCATATGAGCAAAAAATCAACAAATCAAAATCAGAAAGACATTCTTTAGGATCTGATACGCAGTGGTGGGGAAAGTATTCAGATTATTTACTACTTACTATTTAAAGTAAGAGTAGCAATAATACTCTGTAAAAAATACTTAAATACAAGTAAAAGTCCTGCATGTAACTAAAGTGTCATTTTGTGTTGATTCTGGCGGCCCCTGTTTCAAGGAAACTCCAACTGAATCCGACCCTAGGTTTTTTTTTTACAGTGCATCATGTTTTAAAGGTTCTTCATATGTTTTGTATGTCAAACCTTGGTTTGTAAAGTATCTAGTAACTATAGCTGTCAAATTGTAGTGGAGTAAAAAGTACGTAGAGTAGAGTACAGTATGAACTTGAACATGATAAACTTCTTCCAGTGGAAAGAATTTGACAAAGTTCCCTTTGGGTGCCCTTCCAGTGGAGAAAACACGCTAGTAGCCTTTTTATTTTTCCCTGAGTCTCACACTGACTGCAGGTATGTGGATATGCACGGCCATGAAGAGTCGTACTCACAACTTGCTGGAGGAGAAGCACTCTGAAGCCTGGTTCTGATCTCACTCTCTAAGACAAACAGAACATATGCTTCATTAAATATCGTTATTGCTTTATCCTGTGGTACTAATCTGCAAAGTAAAGGCCAAAATTGTACTGATATGTAACTATATGTAGTGTTTATGTACTATCCCTTCACGTGAGTGTGTCAGAGCTCTCACTGTACCTCTGCTCTGACTTCTCCCTCTGGTGGCAGAGCTTGAAATGAATGAAGTGCCTGAAAGAAAAAAGACATGTATGTTTGTAACAGTTTGTATACATGTGCACAATCCAGAGTGTAATCTGGGATTCAAGTAAATCTTACCATACTCCTTCCTGTTGTACTCTGGAGAGGAGTTTGTGCTTGAACTCTCTGAAACATAACAAAATAAAGGTCATTCAGTTTAGTAAAGCAGCAAGAATAAATTGACCTTTGACCTATGACTAACCATCAAAGGCCTCCGAGAAAGCTGCTGCCATGGTGGTCATGCTCTTCCTCTCTTTGGGAATAGGTGAATAAGTGATTCCTGAGGACGATCCTCTCTTCGTTTCCCCAGATCCTCCTGAACTGTAGCTGTTCTTCGTCACCGTTGAAACAGTCACAGCACCTAGACCCCCTTCCCTTTTTCCTTCTCTGCCACCACTTGCATAACTAGAGGACATGCTGGAGGACCCCCCTGCAGCCGCTCTAAACCCTGCCCCTGCTCCTGCTCCTGCTCCTGCCGCTCCCCCTCCACCTCCACCGCCCGCAGCCCCTGCCCCTGACCCTGAGCCCGTGCCCCCTGAAGCTGCTGAACTCCCTCCACCCGAGGATACAGCAGAAGAGGCTCCTAGAGTAGTGATGCTGATGCCTCCAGTGCCCTTGCTGGCTCCGTATCCACCGGAGCTGGAGGCTTGGGAGCTGCTGGATGTGATCAGGACTGAGCTGCTTGTGCCACTTGAGCCTCCTGTTGCAGCTCTTCCACCTGACCCTCCAGCAACCAGAGAAAGATCACCTATAGGAAAATAATTAAAATTGAAAGACAGCAGGAGACATTGATCATTTATTAAATTTTTCATTAAAATATCATCCTTGTGTTTTTCATCTCATTTCATAAAGGCATATATTATCAAAGCCTCCATCAAACACTCAGATGGCATTGCCCGCTGGGGCTGAGGATGGCTAATATCTAATTGCGTGATTCCAGTTTAAACGACAAGACTCCACTGGCAAAGTTAATATTTGACCTATAACGTGAACACCCTTCAGCATTTCTTTTTTGTTATCACATTCCCAAGGTAAGAATCTGCCTGCCTGGTAGTGTGCCTGGACATGCCTTATTACCCTATATACCATTACATCCTCCACCCATATATCAGGTTAATTTATGTCACTCAAATATAACATATTGGCACAGAACAGTTGCATCTGGCACGTGTGTGGTGTTTCCTCTGACAGCGTGTTAGAAGCCCTCTCTTTCCATACTGAGTTTGCCTTTGATAAATACCATACTATAAAAAATCTTGTTCACATATGAATAGATTCTGTCCACAGAAACGCCAGCTTTTAATCTGAAACAAAGACCATTTTGACTTTATTTCTGCTGGGAACCATGAGCCCACGACTTTCTAGTGAAGCATCACTGCAGCCACAGCTGTGCGGGCTGTGTGACTGCTCTAATCTGTTAATATGGACACTGTAATTAAAAGCAAGACATTCCCCCAGGTAGGCAGTGCGAACCTAGGGTTAATCAGGGCAGCAGCAGCAAGTATGTTATATTTGTGTGACAGATAACCCTTTGAGCCAAAGTTTAACATAAAAAATATCCATTAGTGCAGCTTTAACTTCACACAAGCTACCATTCAATATGTGTGTAATCCAACAAATTATATAAATCTTCAATATATATCTGAATAGATAATGAAATACACTATAGTACAAAGATAACTGATGGCACTGCTTACTTTGTGATGTCAGCCGAGAAGTCGTTATTGATTTTGTTGCCACTGTAAAGAAAAATTAAATAATCAAATACAAATACTTTTTTAGACTATTACTATTATATTATATACTATTTTCTAAAATGTGGACTTTAAAGGGTAGGTTCATTGTGATCAGTTTTCATTGGAACTACTTTCTACCCAAGAAATAGTCCTTATAAAAACAGTTTACAGCGTGTTCTGGGAATTATTCTGTTCAACTCATTGTACTGAGGCTGAGACAGATACCTTAAAACGTGTGCCCTTTCAATGCTGTCGTCAAGCTAATGCCATATACTGTTGTCACTCATAGCATATGCCATTTCAAAGCTTCTTTATGCTTGTTTAAAGTAAGTAATGATGTTGAAAAAGAAAGAAAGAAAGAAAGAAAGAAAGAAAAAGTGTATGCATCACTGCATTGCCGGTTTTGCATTTGAGAACAGAGACAGATTAACCAGCACCTCTTAGATCTTACCTCTGCTACTTCCTCCAGCACCTCCACCAGAACTGACAGTCTGGGTGGTAATTAGATTGTCCATCCAATGCTAGCTGTTGCAAAAAACAGAGCATGCACTGTTTTTATGCTTTAAAAGATTCATGAGGAAAAGACTGTTACACTGTGTGAAATATGAAAGACTGAACTCTGTAAAAAAGTCGATTTTCATCAGATTGAAGTGGAATGCTACTATATCCTAAGGCACTATTTGCACACACACATCTAGTCACATTTTTTCAGTTTGCGTGGTCATATTTCTTTTTTTTGAAGCCATGCCTCTTGTGAAAAGGACTCTATAGAACATGCCATTGATTAAAAGGGTTCACCTGAAGCTGTATAGAAAGGGCGTAGCTCTTTGTTCACTTGATGAATGTGGCTTTCTTCTAAACAAAAGTCCTCCAGCATATAAAGACAAATCACTACAGAAACTCAGCAGAAACAGGTCTGGGGTTTCAGTCATAGCTGGGGGAAATGACATAAAATCTTTGCCCTGCAGTCATACAGATGGACTGAACCCTTAACTGATTACTGAAGCTATAGACTGTGTGTCAGTGCAGGGGCATACGGATGCTGACATGGCTGATTTTGTTTAAAATAAAAAAAATACCACAAGAAAAAAGTTACTTCTTTATATTATAGAGATTACAAATAAAAAAAATTTAAATGAGAAAAATTTGGGACACTTTTTAAATGACTAATTTTAAAGCCACTAGGGGGTAGTATTCAGTGATGGGAATAACGCCGTTATAAATAACCGCGTTATAAATAACGCCGTTACTAAAGGCGTTACTTTTTTCAGTAACGAGTAATCTAATTGATTACTCTTCCCATCTTAATAACGCCGTTACCGTTACTGCTAAAAAGTGCGGCACATTACTATAATTGAAGCTGTTTTTTTTCATCAGACCAACTAGATCTCTGAGCCGAGAGGCAAAGACTTTTTTTTACTGTTCTTCCTTGGTTAGTGGGCAGTGCACGAGACAAGCGCATAAATGCTGACAATTGGCTGAGGTTGAGTAAAATTTCCTGGTAAGCCAATCAGAGGTAGAGTTGGACGGGTGTTTGAAAGCACACATAGTTGGACACACAACAAACAACACAAGCGAGTCAGTCAACGAGAGACAGGTATGGCGAGTTGTGTTGCATCTTATTACATTTGCACTAAAAAGAGTGTATATATTGTTTGAATACATTTTTGGTACGTTGCTTAAAGAGCATCATTTAATTTAGATTTATTTGTTGGCTGGCTGCAGCCTCTTGAAGTGAGATTGTCAATGGCCAGAGAAAGAGATTTATTTTTATTTCTCATGTATTACCTGTTTATATTTGGATTCCTTAGTTTTGCTATACATTGTACTTTTCAGTTAGATTAAAGGCACCTCATACTGTTACACTGTTTTACTTTTTCGAGGAAGAAAATACTTGAAGTACAGTATATCTACCAACTGTCTGAAGTTTTTTTTTTGTTTTATTTGCACTACAAAGAGTGTATATATTTGTTATTTATTTTTGGTATAGTGCTTAACAAGCATAATTTAATTTTGCCCAGTTGTGGCCTGTTGAGGGGCAATACATATCAAAAGTTCCAAAACATCTATTGTGTTATTTGTATTGATCCACTATATAAACATAATATCTACATACATGGCATTTGATTGGAGGGTAGTCTCACTTTGTCCCACAGCAACATTAAAATAGTTTAGATTTGTGTACATTGTTTCTGTTAATAATGGATTGTATTAAGTCTCCATTTCATTATAATATTCAGATTTATCATAAATAATTGAACATGCACATGTATTTTAAGTTCCGTTAAAGACATTTGAGCATTTAAAAATGTACTTAAAAGTAACGCAATAGTTACTTTTATAAGTTGTAACCGAGTAACTAATTTAGTTACTTTTCTGGAAGAAGAAGTTGTTTTTTCTGCTGAGACAGAAGCACTACAATGGTCAATAACAAGAAGACATGAAACAGCAGTAAGGATTTAGTCTGTAGGTAGGTAGGTTGTATTCATTGAGAGTATGATGCCTGTTGGCATGAATAGTGTAATCACAAGCATGCTCCAGCAACATTTGTGACTGTAAAACCAACACAGTTGTAAAAGTCACTCTTCAGAACACCTCTCCAACATCTGCTGTGATGTGCTGATTAAGATTAAAGCGATACAATATAACGTTTGAAAGAAAGAACAGCTGTATAAAAGGCACAATTTTTTTCAATTCAATACATTCATAGGTTTTGCTACAGCAACAACAAAAAAACAAGTCAGTATTATCAGTATAACATAAAAATGTATTGTTATAACAAGATATTTTCACATTATTACGACATACAATCTTATCACATTATAACAATGTACTATTTATCTTGTTATAATGTAAAATATTTGATGTTCAAACATGTTGTTAAAACATAAAACGTCTTACATTTCATATCATGTAACATTATTATAACAAGAACAGTTTCGTGCTGTATAGTGTAGAGTTTGTATGTCGTTATTACGTGAAAAACTTCTTGTTATAACAATAATAATAACATATATCATATATGTTACATACATATAATGTGATACTGATCCAATGCTCTTTTTCTGCCGTGGCAGCAATACACTGCCGTAACTGTTACACTATGTTATAGTATTTAACATTATCACCTAATGGCTCCTTGTGGCTGCCGTAGCTGCGGTTCAGATGGTTACATAGTCTTGCTTTAAAGACACTAACATGAAATATGGGGACATTTTGTCCGTTTTCTGTGTGAGGCAGATCAGTTAACTCCATTACGGTTCAACATGGTTCTACTTGGCTCTCCTGGCCCTCATTATTGTGAAAGATTTATAGATATATAGATACATAGATGTGGCCTTTTGTAAGCTAATTAATTATGTGCATTTGATTGCTATTTAGATGTCCTTGTAACTTCTTGATTTTTAAGTTACTGCTTTTGAAATGTCATCTAATTATCTTCACTTTATGTGTTTAGTTAGATTTTATCACCCATGATCGTAAGCAATCTTCTCAAAACCCAGACATCATAAAGCTAAAATATAGGCTTTTTGATATGACTGTTTGAAATTTGAATTGCTAGAGATAGCTTTTCCATTGAAAGCAATAATTTTATTTGGTTGTGATTGGTCATTTTTGGAAATATTAGATTGTTCTGACTGGAGAATCAGGGTGAAGCATCCAGCAATGTCACCCATAGATACTATATATTACCACCACCAAACCGCCCAGCCTGCACCCACATGAAGGTAGGAGTAAGAAAGAATTATATATTATAAAATATTTAATCTCCTGGGCTTTCTTACATACATCATTTACCTATGTTTCTCAACTATAATGCAGGCAGCTGTAATGCAAACATCAAATATAGACTGAGCAGATTGTTGATAAGATTATAGAGTTTTACATTGTTTTATAAATCTTAAAGTGCAATAACAGCATTTAATGCTGCTAATGCTGCAGTCTACAGATACAACATACTTTACCCACCACCCAATTCTATTTCTTTAAGTGCATTTATTTATTCACTGCAATTTTTGTGTCTTCAATCATATATTGCAACTTCCTTAACTCCTCACATATCTAAATAAACTTCATGATATATAGTCTTTTATCTTTGTTTTTCATGCTTCATATTGTATGTATTGTTCTAAAGTTTCTCTAAGGAACAAGATCTTAATCTAAATGAGATCTAAAAATGTTTCTGTTTTTGTAAGGTTACTAATCTTTACTGTCCGGGCATTTCTAATTTCCGTGTGTGGTATCAATAAAGTTGATCTTATCTAATCTTTTATTTAGTCTTTATTCATTTTCTCACAAAACCTTACATTAAAAACTTGTTATAAACACTCTTTAAAGACTGTTAAATCACAGGGTTCAACCACTATTATCATAGTTATTACTGTTATTTGCAACTATTATGTGCTACTATAATTTATGTTATTATTTCTAAGTTCCAACAACCTGAAATTATACAAAGTTCAATCTTAACTTAACATTTCCTTGAGGAAGAACAGTAGTGTGTTTTCCTTACCTTTTAGATCATTTGTGCAAGAAAAAAATCCCTCACCCTCTCATGTCCTCCAGCAGATAAAATGTAATCAGTCTATCCTATTCACCACATTACAGTGTAGACTATAAAGTCCAGGTGCTGGAGGTATACGCTGTGCAGTGCCAGGGATTTGAATGTACATGGAGAGTTTATGTATTAGCTTTGTCTGACTCATAGCTTCAGTCGACAAGTTCCAACAAAGTGAAAGGGGTTGTTGCGTACAGCCTGTGACAGGCACACTGTGCAGGAAAAATAGCCCCAGGCTCAATGAATGAAAGACTGGTATAAAGATAGTAAAAGTGATCGAACAATGTAGTGCCCTACTGTGTTATTGTAATTGTTTTTGTTTGTTTCTATACTTGCCTGCTTGTATAAGGTGTGAAGAGGAGGTGAGCATGCTCAGTTAGTTATAAATATTACAGGAATGTGACCTTGACTCTCAAAGGCCTGAAAAATAGTGAATGTTCTTGGAAAAAAAGAGTGAAAACATAAATCACATGCAAATATTGCTTCATTATAAAAGACCCAAGCTTCCATTGCAAAAAAGACACAGTTGTTGTGTTGGGAATTGGATGACTTTGTTTGCATGCTTTGAGCTTTACAGTGGCAGTGAGGCCTGACTCTCACACAAAGCTCTTGGCAATGCAATCCCACCTGAGCCAGGACTGCACTGAGTCTGACTTATATTCATTTTCACTGCAGCTGAGAGATGCATTTGTATCACTGTCAAGTTGCAGAAAAGAAAGTCACATTATATTATAGTTTTTGCATATAGATTAATAGCAGCAGAGAAAACAAAACAGATACTACAGAGGAGAATAAAACAGGCTAGAAAATCACTAACTTCATTCCAGCAAAAGAGAACAGTTGGTGAGATGATTTCACTGCTGACTATACGAGAACCAGTGGCTTTTATACTACAAGCCTGGACAACACTGAAGCTACTCTTACAGTACATAAAAAAATACTAACATCAAGTACACCTCAGAAGTCCTTGACTAGCTTCACCACAAAGCCCAATCATGTCAATCCACACCTAGAACAACGGACCTTTAGAGCAATTTTTGTTGGGTTTTCGGAATAATTGTCAGTCAAAACAATGGCATGGCACCCTGTAATGGCAGAGTTTCCTTCTATGCCCATGATATACTTTATTTCAGTAGTTATCAAGCTTTTTGGTATCAAGGACCATATAATATGTCGTCTCAGGGATCCTTGTCTGATTTACTTATTTTATAACTGGTTATGCTGCAGATTAACAGTGAAGAGTGTGAAATAACTAGCTAACTGACCCAAACACCAAAACAATGAGCTGAAGTGTTGGTGATGCTGAGATGTTTTAACCCTCCATACAGCTGAGGGAAACTGCAGATGGGTAATAATTCTCTAGGTGTTCATATGATGGTTCAAATGAAATAACTTTTTATTTAATTATTGCCAACACTGTTAATATATTGATTAGACTGATTCATATGTAGGGCCCATACATATTTTATCATGGTACACGTGGACATTCTGGAGCCTGGATTGTTGTGCAAATATCACTCAACATATAGTCTAAAAATATATGACCTTTAAGAGATTAAACTCAGGGACAGGCGCCCTGGTGGCTCACCTGGTGGAGTGTGCACCCCATGTGGCGGGGCTGGGTGCTTGCTGTGATGGGTTTGGTTCCAGCCTGCGGCCCTTTGCTGCATGTCGTCCCTTCTTTCTCTCCCCCCTTTTCCTGTCACTCTTCAGCTGGTCCTATCAAATAAAGGCAATATAATGCTCCCTCCCAAAATTTTGATTTTATTTCACATTTCCTGTCAGAAACAAGAAGACTTTAGCATAATGCAGCTTAAATAGCAGAACTCAGTCTAGACCTACCGTACATTTCTGATCCTATGATGGACATGTAATCTTTCAGTTCAATTATATCTGTTGCTGGAACAACTTCTTGAATGATACGGACTGAATTCTTTAGTGACATGGATCATTCTAATATGATGTTTTCCAAATGTCTGTTGATTTAACAGCGATCAGAAAACAACACAGTGTGATATGTTTGTCTTTCTTCCTCTTAAATGATGTGTGTCGCTTTGTTTTGGTCTTGGCCAGGCCAAAACAGTTAAGATGTCATTTCAGTGCCCTTGGTGTAAAGTATTATAATATTATAAAGTCTTCTGCCTTGTTTTCCATCTTCAGACTGCTTTGAAAAAAATGCAAAGTTCAGGGAGAAAAGAATGAGTGACATGTTAACACCTAGCGGCTAAACGCTATTAGTCAGGTATGTTTCAGAGCGAGTGTGGATCTACGCCCACATGCTTCAGGGTTTCCAGGAGTTGGAGGATAAAAAATAATAGCTCCAAGTTCCAAATAAAAGATATCTATACAAGAAAAGAGGAAATGAAGCATTTATTGTGGTGAAAGTGTTGGCATGGATTTATTTACATAACGTCTGCCAACATATGCTGATCTCTAAATTCAGTGGAAGTGAACTTCTTCTTGCGGTGCCATCTGCACTCAACAGCACCATTCACTAACAGTGAAAACACAGCATACAAAACATTGCTCCGGGCATTTCAACATTCCACCTGTACACATGAAGCCACAACAAACACTTTTTTAAATGTAAGAAGATGATAAAAATCTTTTTGACACCATTTCATAATGTCTTACACTGCATAAACAACCCTTCTAGAAACAAGCCAAATATTCTTAAATATAATCAAATCCTCTTGTATTGAGTAAAAGAATCTGCAGTTTTGCTCTACTAGAGTTCTTAAAACTAGCATAACACCTAGCCACTGAAAGACTGTTGTGCTTATTATTGTGCAATGGAAATGAAGATAGTCGTTCTTAAAATAAGTATTTTGGTCACTTTATTGAGCTGAATTTGAAAAATCTTACAATAGGACACAGTTTCTTCAGGCAGCGTAATAAAAATAAGTGATGGCACCAGAAACGTTCTTATTTTAGCATTTTTTAATCAAACAATGAAAAACTCTGCTTCATTTCCAACACTGGGACAAGACGACTGTCTCTTAAACTGAGAAGTTGTGCATGTTTAATCTTTAATAATCTTGTTCCTCTGCTGGGATATTATGCAAACCATTGTTGGAACTGGTTAAATCTAGCTCAATATCAGCTGTAATATCTTATTAAGACAAAGTTAGATATATTTTCTTAAAACCAGATTACTTTTCTAATCGAAAATATGCTTGATGAGATTATTTTTCTCTCACTCATTTCCGAGAAACATTTTCACTTTCTTGAGATTCCTTTACTACATCATGGTCATACGTTCCAACCTATAAAGTCACACAAACAGCCCATCATAGTTTTGTATGATTCATATTTTCACCTTCTTGTACAGGCAACCAGGCAGCCACAGGTGTCTCATAGCATGTGCACACCTGAGTCATATTTTGTATGATATATGTTTAGAAATGATTGTGTGGGACTCTCCAGTAGCAGTGCTATAAATCCTCCCACACAAGGTACAGTCATTTTCACTGATGTCTCAAAAATGACCTTTTCCAGAGCTGTTTTTAAAATATAGATCTGGTGATATTCGTACTGTGGTGGGTATTTGTTAAATAAAGCATACAAAGTATGATCTTGTCTTTCTGTAAGGTCTTATTAAAGTCATCCATGAATGGACTCAACACAACAGCCACACACTCTTGTATGAGTCTGAAAGAGCCAAGATTCAAAGAAGCAGTATGGTTTTCTCCCTGTTGGAGCGTCACTCTAACACAGTTACACATTCCTGAGTTCTGGGACAGTAAACAGACAGATAGTGTGGTAAGATGATCATGTCCTTGGCTTCTTAGTGAAGTCTCAACATGCCGCTGTTTACTTGGACATAGAGTGTAGTTAGAAACAGGGTTAAAGGTTGTATGCATATAATAGTCTCTTTAACAGGTTGTGTATGGTTTTACAATGACCAGGTCAAAGGGTTGTATACGTTCTTAAAAACGACCATTACAGTACTGTCTCACTGTCAGTAAATACGATGAAAAGACCAAAGCCAACGATGAACAGGTCCTACTAACACGTATTGTGTGTGTAGCCAAAGACTGATATATCTTCTTCCTCTGTGCCATTGATCTCCACTGTTGTCCAAAAGCTGATGTACTGGCTGACATGTCCCTTCATTACCATGAACACACACACTGTAGTTTATTTTGGAAAATAGTCCCCAAAAAATATACAACTTACTCCAGTCTGAGCAACGCTTGCAAAAAACCACAGTGCCCAGCTGTTTTACAAGAAGAAGAAGATATACTTTATTAATCGCCTAGGGGAAATTGTTCTTTTCACTCTTTTTTATACACACACACACAGGCTGAAATACACACTTCATGCAAACAGGCAGAGAGATGGTGGAGTGATGGGGCTGCAATGTTCAAGGGCACCTCGGCAGTGCACAGGAGGTGAAACTGGCACCTCTCCAGCTACCAGTCCACACGCCATATTGTGGTCTGTGGGATTTGAACCGGCGACCCTCTGGTTCCCAAGCCAAGTCCCCACACACTGAGATACTGCCGCCCATTTTAGGAGAGTGTATGTGCTTAAAATCTAAATATATTCTCAATACAAATATGTATTCCATTAAGTCTTCAGCAGAATCAGAATGGCAAGACTAGGGCATTGTTATTTTTGCTCTTAATCTAAACCCTAAAAGTGGGCAAATGCATTGCCTAATGCACTTAACCTAAAAAAAATTGTATCTTTAAAAATCCACTGAGTTTATCTTTACATTATAAAGGAGTAAAAAAAAGAAGAGTATATGACCTATGTGTCTTCAGCCCTGCTCAGATTGTGCTATATCAAAATATGAGACTTCAAAGACTTTTGGCTTTCAAGTTTCAAGTAAGTCAGACCTCACGGGAGTCAAGTCCAAGTCAAGTCTCAAATCCTCTGTATTGCATGAAATCGAAGTGTAAGTCTACACCTCTGCCCTTTCAAATTAAAACCCATCGGTGTTGAGGGAGTGGTCTGTGAGGACGGGCTGTTCTTTTCATTTGGACTGAATATCTTTCATGGTTGAAGGAGAAAAATAAAATAATCGGAAATAATCATATAAAATTTCCAGTTAACAAGTCACAGAGATTCCTACATGTTATAGTTCAGAGGTGCTTGCAGTATTTTAAAGTAGCCACAAGGCATGTCAGGTGACAGCTTTGACCTTTATCACATGTATCGTGAGCGCTATAGGATAATAAATCAGAGGAATGAGTGTGGGGTGACTCATACCTAATATATGAAGCATTGAAAGGAGCAGCAGAGATTTGGAGCAGGTGCTCCAAATAAATATTATACGTGTTTATAGTGTGATTGCATAACCAGGTCTGACAATTTTCTACAATGAACCACCAAGTCAAGGCAACTCATGTCAAGCTTATTTGTTGCGCACATTCCATGCTGGGTAGGCTCAATAAAAAAATCAAAAACATAAATACATTGTGATGTTATTCCTCCCCTGCCCACCCACACACACAAACATACCCACACATGCCAGGTACACAGACAGCGAGATGGAGGCACTAGCTAGCCATCGGCCTGAGAGAGCAGGTAGGTCTTAAAAACTGTTTCCAGGGGAGGAGGAAAACCAACAAAACCCAATGAAAAGGCAAGGAGCCATGACACATGCTGATTGGCCGATTTGAAATACATCCTTTTAGTGAAATACTTTCTTATTGGCTTATTTGTACATGCATTCTGATTGACTTATTATCGTTGAATGCATCCCAGTTGGTCGATTGTTAAATGCTTTCCTCTTGGCTGATTAAAATCCATCCTGATTGGTTGTTTGTGTCATGCATGCTGATTGGCCTATATAAATACAGTTTGATTGATACATTGCTTTGTCCATGACGCACCTTTAGGATAATGTATCTCCTTGTATAGAGAAATGAGGGGCGTATATGTAAAAAAAAAGTGCACCTGTAATGTATTATTATTATTCACTAACATGTGAACATGGGTATTAAATAGTGGGCAGGCACCTGTTGCAATGTATTTGGGGCTTATCTAGGGGGTGGGGAATGCTCAGATGCTTTAAAAATTTAAATAGTCATATAAATATGAAAATTGACAGGGAGTACCTGAAACAAAAAAAGTGACAATAGTTTGGTGTACTACTTTATCACTACAGTAGAAAAAGTTACATTTAAATGGTATTCAACATACCTTATAGGTCTGCTACTACTGCTTCTGAGTGAGAACATGAAAAGTAAATACTACAGTAGAAAAAAATTTAATTTAGTTGCACAGATCATTTGTCCAAACTGACATGATTTGCCCAATAATATTCACTGCCATTCAGAACATAGACAATATAAGAGGACATTATACATTGGTCTGTTTTTCTAGCAAAATTTCACTTTCAGAAAAGTCAGTTTTTTAACAGAAACCTTTTATTTAACATTTTTATAAATAAAATGCAACAATACATACAAACTATCCAGCATTCTTCAAACCCCTAAAGCCAAAAAACTAAATATTTGTAAATTACTGAACCCTTTTTTCTTTTCTTTTTTCTTCTTTTTTCGTGTGTACCCCTTAACCCTTGACATATATGTCTAATTTGTATTACAGTTATATTTTGCATTAAAAATAACTATATATATATATATATATCTTAATAATGAAAAAAAAAAACACGCCCCGGAAACCTTTTCAAAATATCGGCAGTACTTCCGGGTGGAGTGTCATGGCGGCGCGAGTGTCATTGCACTAATCCAAAGCCCTTCGGAGAGAGAGACAGAGAGAGAGACAGAGAGACAGAGAGAGAGAGAGACAGGCAGTGTGGCGGGACCGCTCGCAGTCATGAAGTTCAATGACATAGTGAAGTGGAACAGCAGAGTGTCTGCGCTGTACGCGCTGGGCATCTGGAGCATGTTCGGTTCCTACGCTTACTTCAGATACACAGGGCGGTATGACTCTGCAGGTGAGTGCACACACACACACACACACACACACACACACACACACACACACACACACACACACACACACGTGTATCATCCCCCTCGTTGAAGCAGACTAATAACAGAGTGTGACTTCATCTGTCTGTTATTGTTCACCCAGCTTTGCTTCATTCTCTCTTCCAGTGGCTCCCAACCTTTATCAATCCTTTACTAATGGGGCCCCTGTCTATCATTTAGTGAACCCTGACAAAGGGACATATTTTCTGGATATTTCATATTATATTCCAAGATTCTGCTAATGGGCCCTCCTTCCTGACCCATAAGCCTTGTTAACTATTGGCCCCACCTGACAGTCACAGTGCTCCCACTACCATCGTCCCTCCTTTAAAACAGTGTGTCAGTCTAGCAATAAGTACATGTACACAGAACAGAATGAGGTATAAACAATATTTACTGAATAGAATATTTTCTACAGAATCTTAAGATGAGTGATTATTAGAAATAACACAGAGCTTTGGCTCTGCTGTCTGGTAATTAGTCCAGTCCTATTATATAATATTATATAATTAGCTTCGGCTATAGAGTGTAAACAGTCGTCTGGCTGCAGCTTTAAGTCTCAGAATATCAGGCCCTCAAATGGGCTCCCCAGATTTCCTTGTATAGATTTTCAAATATAAAAGACTATTTATACTTTGGGGGTATACTATGGTACTTGTTGGTTATCATTTACTGAGAGATGTGCAAACATATCCCGCAGTATGCCCTCCTAATCAACATTTAAATTCAGTATTTGATCAATAGTCAATGTCATTCCATTGCTTTCCATCTTATATTAGAGTTGTAACTAAACATGGCACTGTCAGCTGTTAGTGAGACATAAGGAGAGAGACATGCACTAGAAGCTGCACATCCACTTAACGGTACTGTTATGTGCTGACATTAAACTTGGGGAACACAAGTTTACCTGATTCCTGTTCCCACAATGGTGTTTTGTCTATTTTCTTGAGAGGTAGTTCTGTTCATCCTCTCCCTATGCAGCTTGGGTAGTGAACGTGTAGGGCCGACGGCTCTGTATTCAAAACTGTACTGTGAACTCAGAGACTGCAAGAAGTTTGCGTAAACCGAGTGATTTGGATGAATTTTGATCAGATTATTTCCTGTTTAGAGAAGATTTTATACAATCTTCTGTCTGTATTTTGTATTTATTTAATATTTATTTCAATATTTTGTACCAATGATGCATACATACTTCTGTTGCTTCTGTTACAATAGACCAGACTTTGACACAATAACAATAGCATTTGACTATACTAGATTATTTTGACAATTTAGCTCAATGTTTTAGTAATGGAAGATAAGTTACCAAAGATAATAGCTAATCAAATGTAGATGTTGTCAGATTTGGTAGCTGAAAATGTTTATTGCAATAAAAAGTATTAAAAAAACAACTTATTGCTTTTTAGTATCAACTGCTGTACTTTAACATGGCTAACTTTTGTTGTTACACTGCATTGCCTCCACACAGCTTACATACATATGACATCAGTTCTAACTGCAAGATCACTCTTTACTCCCCCCCTCTTAGAGAAAAAAGAAGTGGTGCCAAAGCCAGAAACTCAGGATCAAGTCGTCTATCAGACACCCCACACCAAGTCTGTCATCATCTACAAGAAAGACTTTGTCCCGTACAGCACAAGGATCTACAATTTCATCAGATCCTTCAGCAGTGAGCCTGGGAGTGGAGATGCTGGCAAATAGTTGCATCAGCAGTGCAAAGGATGATGGGACACTGACATTTTCAAGAGCATTTCTTATAATGCCCTGTGAATTTTCGCTTTTGTGTGAAGACATTATGTTTATTTGTAAAATAATCTCCAGCGCAGTATCCACCTGTCCAGGTGTGAGGGAGCCGCCATAATGGACTGTTCACACGTTATTTATAATTAAATGTACTACGAGGAGTCTTTAACTGGTTATGAAACAGTCTCAATTCAATACTGATGCCTTTATATGACCTATGTGAACAAACATAACCCTCAGCAAGAAGATTAACTGTGTCTGTATTGTGATTCTTAATGGTCGATTTGGATTCCCCTTGAAATCAATGAAATGTGATGGTAGAAGCACTACCGCTTTTGTCCACAGGGGCCGCCAGAATCAATACAGAAGTTCCTTGAGCTTTACCCACGCCTGTCCACAATAAGCAGTTTCCACAACCACTCATGATGTTCAAATAAACCCATGTTGTAATATACAGTGTACTCAGGCTTCCTCTAATTCTCTGAGCAGAGCAGGTATGGTACCATACTACCATGACCAGAATGTTCCCTTAATCTCTTCATTCAATGAAAGGCACTATAATGAAGGTGTTAGGAGTGTTTGTGGTTTCATGTTATTGTTGTATCTGGTGTTAACATGCTGTTTGACAGAACTGTATGCATTAACGTGTAGTAGCCGCCCAGGTAGAGCTAACTATTTTATACACAGTTGGGTGTATACATGAACTGTTTAATAATGTATCAAATGTTATATGTTCATTATATTCTACAATGACAGCCACATTGGCTCCAGTGACTTGAACAGAGAGCATTTAGTCCCGGGCAGCCTCCGGAAGAAGCAGAGGATGTGTGCTGCGTGTTTCAGCCACTAGATGGAGACAACGCCTCGTCCACACAGTGAGAGCTCAGCGGAAGTTGTGTGAGCGTGCTCCCCAACACAACCAAAACAATGAAAGCTATCATTCAGCGGGTCACCAAGGCGACTGTAACAGGTAAGCGGCTGCTTTGAACTGAGCGGAACTGCCATGCTTTGACGCCTTTGGTAGTGTCGCCACAACCGTTCGCTAACAGGCTAATAACCTCCATTTATTAACGCTGACCAGGCATTTTAGCTAACCAAGCTAGGTTAGCATTAGCACTCCCAGCGAAACGAACGAGTCTCCAGAGACAGCCAGGCGTGTCTCCGTCCGGAGTGTAGACAGGGCGCCGCTGGCTGGGTGCTGAAGCTCGGTGTGTCCTCTGGATGTCCGTGATACTGACAGCTGAATGACAGTCCTGACTGCTGGCTGCTGTCCTCCACACACACACACACTGATGTCATTCAGTCTGTCACCTATCAATGAGCACTCACTCACTCACTCACTCACTCAACCCTTTCCTGTTTTCCTGCAGTGGGAGAAGAACAGATCAGTTCAATAGGTCGAGGGCTGTGTGTACTGCTGGGTATATCAGTGGAGGACACCCAGAGGGATGCTGACTACATGTGAGTATGTGCGGAACTGTTAATGGACCCCAGTATGCAGAACTATGGAACTGTGCACATGACAAAACCGCATTGGATTAGCATAAAGTGGAGACTCATGGGTAAACAGAGAAACCATTTTCATTCAGGTATCTTGAGGGCAGGGGTCAAGGGATCACTTTAAAAAATGGCCGTGCCATTTGTCAAAAAAGAAGCATAGTAAGTTTGTATGATTGTTAAAAATGATCTAAAAGAAAAAAACACAATACTGACAGAACTGTATGAAAGTATTGTAAACAGGAAATCATCTGCTCAAAATTCATCCAAATCACTCGTTTTACACAAACTTCTTGCAGTTACTGAGTTCACTATTTTGGGTCATTGAATATTATTTTGGGTATTTTGAATATAATATGAAATATCCAGAAAATATGTCTCCGAAGCAGGGCTTGTCAGTTTACTGAATAAGATGAAAGTGGTCCCTTAAGGAAAACGTTTGGAAACCACAGATACAGATAACTTAACTCTCGTTGTAATAGATTACATATCTCAGTCAAGTTCCAAGTTGATTTTCATGTTGTGGCATGAACAGCATCCAGTGCCTGCCTGGAGGGTAAGTACAGACTTCAATATTAATGAGAAGCCATTCCAGTGTGTCCTTTCAGATAAAGCCAATAAGTTCTCTGCCATCATGTGACCAGGTTGATCAGAATGCTTGTCACAGTTACAGATGAGTTGATCCCTCATGGGTTTTTTTTTCTTAGTGTACGGAAGATCCTGAACCTGCGGCTGTTTGAAGACGCGAACGGGCGAGCGTGGAGCAAGAGCGTCATGGACCAGGACTTTGAGGTTCTGTGCGTGAGCCAGTTCACACTGCAGTGTATACTGAAGGGCAACAAGCCAGACTTCCACTCAGCCATGCCTGCAGAGTTGGCCCAGCCCTTCTACAACAGCATCCTGGAGAACATGAGGAGTGCCTACAAGCCAGAGCTCATTAAGGGTGGGTGAACAGATGACTTAGCCATCTTAAATGTCCCACTTTATAGTCCTACAGCAGTGTTCCTGCTGCTCTTAGAGGAGAGCTAGCAAAGCACTAAATTCATGCTTTTCCCCCAGATTTTGTGAAATCAGTTGAATAATTGTCCCATTTGTGCAGTTATTGCTAAACATTTTTAATGTCAGCTGAGGTTATGTATTGAGTAGCTGATAGCCAGCGTTTATTTCTGAGGAATACGATGGATTTTGTGAAATAAAAGTTGAAAAATTGCATGAATTTAAAGGCTTATTGTGAAAACTGTGGAGGTCAAAACGACAGGGGTTGTTTACAGCTACTTGCTTCCGAGCGCAGTAAAACAAAAGTGTGGAGGGTCACCATTATCGCCACTCACTTCTAAATTTGGATCGGCGCCCAGTCCCCCCGGCTGTTTACCCGCCTCTATTCCCATCTTAGCGTAAGGTTATGGCTTTTTTTGGCTGTGGGAGGTGCGGATTATCGGCACTGTGACGCGGTGACGGTGGCAGTGAATTGGGTCAGCCCACCGGGGAGCAGGTGCGGAGAACACCTTGTCCCAGCAAGGGAGGCATAAGGCTTCCTAATTAGTCCCCTCCCCTCCAGAGAGGAAATATGATGATGCAGCGCCTTTCCGCCGCGGCCCACAGCTTCATTGTGCAGATGGTGTCATTAATCTCGTGGACCCAGTGGAAGAAAGGAGAACATTTAAGTTGAAACTTCCTGTCCTCCTACAGCCCCTTCGTCTTTTGTCCCCAATGTCTCAAGGCTCCACATTGTCCCACATCCCTATGATACAGCACACACTGCCAGTGCTAAACAAATTCCACTTGTCTTTACCATTAATATTAGGACGTGTCACTCAGTAAACTGTAGGCAGTGATGTTAATAGATGAAACTTGAGGTTATGTCTTTGATTTTCAGGTCTCGGTTGAAATGGCTTGTAAGACTTGTCTCTGTTTTGTCTTGTGTTTCTAGACGGGCAGTTTGGGGCCTACATGCAAGTCCACATTCAAAACGACGGACCTGTTACCATAGAAATTACATCACCCTCTGGTCCCACAGACCCCAAACAGGTACGTTATCGAGCAGGACGTTTTGGACAAAGTAGTTTGACCGAAAAATCTTAACTCAAGGGACATTTTTTAGCTCTCTACTGGAGCTTTCATCTGTTCCATACAGAGTGGATGATGTTTTCTCAGTTGTCATGGAGATGCAATGAAAAGCTCAGAAAAAAAGCTAGTAAAGGGACCTTAAATGAACTATTGTTGTGTCTACGGTCCATTTTTACAGTGAATCAGAGCAGTTATGTAAAATGAACTTTGGTTCTCACTCTGCCACTGTACTGCTGGACTTCAGCTGCATCCCTCTACACAACTTGAATTCATGCATGGAGTGTCGTTCAACTGTTCATGGACTCATTTTATTTCTCATTTTAAACCACTAGGTGGTGATATTTACTCTTCTGTTGTGTGCAGTGGCTCGTCTTTCTCATGTTACATGTAGAGCAGAGGGTTGTTTTAAAAAAAAAAAAAAAGATTTTAATGAGACCTTTTTGAAAAGCGGTTTATTTTCCGCTACCACTGACCTTGTGTGTTTAATTGTTATGTAGGTGTAAATGTCACATCGGATTTGAGTCCAAAACTAATACTGACATTTCATAGTTAACTTTTTTCTTTAAACTACTTAAACACTATTCACTGTTGGAAAAACAAACCTAATATGTAACATAAAATATAACAGTACATTGTATACTATAACCTTCAGTGGAAATGAAATAAGTGTCCATAACAACTACAAACAACAACACAAATGAATAGAAAATGTATTTAAGTATTTAAAGTGAGACTCAAAAATATAATAATACATGCAATTATCATAAGTATGAGACACATTAAATGATGTAGTATGTGATGTGCGAAAGCATGTATTATGACCATTAAAGCTGCACTAATCAGTATTTTTCTCTTTATATAAATAATGAATCAAAAGACTGTATAGTATAAAAAGTTTCGCTCATATCGTGGAAGCCACAGAAAATTGTTGAAAAAGTTGATTCATTGAGTGTTCTCACTCAGTCACTCCCACGGTGAAGCTGAAAGCACACCCGATTTGACTTAGTCGGGTTAACATCTGTGTGTGGGTGACAGGGTGTTATGTGTAGGCTTCAGATGATTGGCAGCACAAGCCCAAATGCACAGGCTTTGGGAAACTCGCTGTTGCCACCTCATGCTCACCCTCTGCAGTACCTGTTCCTGTGGGAGCCGACTAGGCCTGCTCCCAGCATGCTCATCCTGTTCTCTGTTGACTTCAGTATACTGTATATATATTTTTTATATATATAATATGGTATAATTTGGATTTGCTGTTCTTCTGGAAGAACATGTGTAACTCTGTAATAAATAGTTGATTAAAAGATGAGTTCATTGATGTCCTCTTAGGTTTCTGAGAACTTATCAATGGCGTGGTGGAGTATCAAACCTCAATATGGTTTTAGTACTGACCAGATATGTCCAGAGCCTCTCAGTAACAGGGATACATCTCTCTCAGCATCTAATTCCATCCGTACGAAAAAGGTTAATATATCCGTCTTCCTGAAACAATTCTGGTCACTTCCGTGGAACCCGGCCAACATCCTTATGCTTTGGCTGCTCTCCCCTTGGTGGGCTTGGTTGCTAGCCCAAAGGGAGGGATATTAAGCAGTCCTCAGAATTTTAATCTTGTCTGTTTGGGATGTTTTGCTGTGGGGGCCGAGGAGCCAAAGCCAAGGCCGAACATGAGGGATAAAAGGCCAGCCAATAGGCTAAGCTTGGCACGGGGGGGGAATGAAGCAACGGCCAATAGACACTGTCCCTTTCTTTCCATGAATCAGGGATTTAGTCCACTGCAGGGTCAAGCGGCCAGCAAACAATGGTGTTATCCAGAGCAATGAAAATCATCCAGTTTGGATTTTCTCTTTGGGGACGGATGGGATCAATGGCAGAGGGGTCTTGAGTTTTTCTGTTTGTTCACCTGACTGCATTTTGTTTTGGGGTGTGGGCTGAAACCCAACATACACAGAAATTATGTTTGGTCATGTTAGGTCAGGTTTTTATGGGGCTGGGGGGTCAGAGTTTTGGGTTTGAAAGTAGCTTTAATATGGCAAAAAGAAGCCTGTATGTTTGTTCACAGTGTCCACTTTGTATTCCGATGTTTAAAGTATGCATCTCCCTAGGTTTTTATGTACCAGATGTTATATCATCAACAAAGACAGTAAGCCTGGTTTGATACTACAACATGTTAATGGGTTCAAATGGGAATAACACTGAATTTCTTTTGTGTTCTTTGAATAATGTAATGTCTTATGCAATGCGTTGGATTTTTAAGATGACATTTAGGTCATAAATATTTACCCCGCAGCCATAAAAGTTTTAGCATCTGTGTTTACAGGCCTTTTAGATGACTGGTAGCATAACTACTTCATCATGACTGTTGTGGTATTTTATGGACCGTGAGGAATACAATGAGAAAAGAAGTAGGAGCGGGTTTGATTGGAGTTGTGACTAGTTGTGCTGAGTGGCACTGGGAAGGGCTATTTTGGATTGTGTGAGAGGCAGTGCATGCAGTCACAACAATAGACTCATTGAAGTGATCATATGACAACTCAGAATAGCTCTAAATGAGGAGAGAATAAAAGTGGTCGTGTTTTCAAAAAGACGAGTCAGATGTGGAGTGTTGGTCGGGCGCTGATGTGTTTCTCCTTTGTTTAATTAATTATACTAATTCGCATGCATGCTGGGACCTTTGGGTGAACACTGAACGTACTGCAAAGGTCATGATCTGCAAGTCATGATGCAGCACGTTCATGGTGTGTGCCTCTGCCCACTGAGCCACCAGGAGACCCAGACTGATAAGGTTTCAGTTACAGTTCAGCCAAAGATGCATTTCTATTCTATTTTACAACTTTACTTGTCTCAGCTTTACTAGCAGAGATTTTCAAACTAAAAATGTGAATGTCACACACTTGTTATTTGATACATAAACGTCTAGGGTTTAGTGGCATATAGCAGATTGCAACCAACTGAATACAGCTCACCTCACCCTATTGTTCTAAACGTGTTGGAGAAACTATTGTGGCCTTGAAAATTGCAAAAAAATGCAAAATGCCCTATCTAGAGCCAGTGTTTGGTTTGTCCATTCTGGCTACTGTAGAAACATGGTGGTTCAACATGGCGGACTCTGTAGAGGAGGACCCGCTCCCTCTGTAGATAAAAGCGGCTCATTCTAAGGTAACAAAAACACTAAGTCTTATTTTCAGGTAATTGTAGCCCCTGAAAAAATAATAATTATCTGCTCCAAAACTCCGCTCATCTGATTCAGTGGGACTGTGTAGGTGTGGTTCACACAGAAGTTTGTGACATTACCTTTTACCAACTGTGCCCTGTCCTCTTCAAACTAGGCAGAAAAGCATTATTTCTGTTCTAACTTTAATATAATCAACTCTTGTTTTAAGTTAAAAATATATCAGGATTTTTTTTTTACTACACCTTGCCAGAAAATGGTTGCATTTCAACCTTTTAACATGGTTTTTTTCATCAGTAGGTGCATACTAGGGCTGTCACTATTTAGTACAAATGTGTGACACCACTTATTTAAAAAAAAAAAAAGTTTCAGAATTCTCATGCTCTTTCACTACAAATAATTCTGTTTAAAAAAGCAGAAGCACTAAATGATGCATTTCTGAGATATTTTAGTAGAGCTGCAATAAAGTTAGATAGCAGAAAATATTTTTGGCTATCTGAGACATCACTGGCAAATGTCAGCTTGCCGTTCAGAAGAAAGGGTTTTTTTAGTCTCTATTTTGCAAAGATAACACATAAAACTCACAGCTGGATGCATCAAGTTCAGTTCATGTTCTCTGGGGGAAAAAAAGACTGAAGAAGTAGACAAGGCAAGTTGAACGTAAACTGGAGCACTCTGGTTATAGCCATGTGTATGGAATTTTCCTTTAACTCCTCTTCCTCTCCAGAGGCACCTAAATGTTCTTAAGGCACAATCCAAGCTTTTCTATTATTCATGGCATGTGTATAGAAAAGTGTTTTTGTCATCTCCTTTGACAGGTTGTACATGTTAAGGGCACAAGAATTGAACTGTAAGATGAAGATTGTTTTTTAAGAACCAGCTTTCCTGTTTCTTGTGTTTCCTCAGCTGTCAAAGCAGGAGAAGCAGCAGCAGAGGAAAGAGAAGACGCGCTCCAAGGGCCCCTCAGAGTCGAGCAGGGACAAAGGCGCCCAGCGTTACCGGCAGGACCCCAACGCCAGTAGTGGAGCCGAGGGAGATGTGTCGTCAGAGAGAGAGCCCTAGGTCGGTAGGGTGAGGGAGCCGAGGAGATGTACACAGAAATACACACAGGAGTCTGCAGGTCCTTAAAACATCACTTTTATTTACATTCATTTCTTCTGTTAAAGAGTGTAATTTCTCTTGAATCACCATGTTATAAAGGCCAATCATCTCTTCAGTGTATTTTTTAACTGTGAATTTAGTTTTGTTTATTACTTTTAATGATATTTGCTTACTGAAAAGGCTTCAGTTCACATACAGAGAGATATTAAATGTGCACATTATTTCACTGTTTTAAGCTTTCTGTAAGAACTCTGTCACTTACTTAGCATTTCTTATGCGTGAAGAAAATGGCTTCATGGAAAACCTGGAAATTTAGAGACTAGTTTTCCAGTCAATAAAACACCTGGAAATTGATTAAATAACCAAAGATCCTGGAAATAATAATAATAATAATGTGTGTTGTCCTGAAGAATGTTTGTATTTATATACAATATATTATTTATATTTGTATTATTTGATATTGTATTTTAGCCCCTCACTCAGATCTCTTACATAAACCTAGGGGCATATTTTGTTTGAAACTTGACAGTCCGTATCTGCGCGGTATGACAAAGTGGGTTAACCAGATGTGAAGCAGAACGGAAAAGAGTGGGAACCCTGATTAATGGTTTTTTTTGGCTACTTGGGGGCAGTGCAGCAAGTTGAAATCATAATATCGTCATTGCGTTATCAAGGAGATATGGTAACATGTTAGCAAACAGTTGCCTATTTACACATCCAGTAAGTAAGTAAGTAAATAGGACTTTATTTATATAGCACTTTTTTGAGATGGGTTTTAAGGAGCCGCTTAAAACCAAAGATTCAGCAAATCTGAGTGACTGGGGAAGATGATTGCAGAGCAGACACTTCATATATTCTCTATTCCTTTAGCTCTGTTTTTGTCTTCAACTGCTCCTGAGAAAAATATCGATCTTAATGTAGCAAATGCTTCACTATGTTCACCGGCTAGTTGCTAGCTCTGTCTGTCTGCTTGGTTGCAGGTTTGTCAGAACCTTTTTGCTAACAGACTTTTTAAGATCCTGTGGAAGTGAAATGTAGTTGGGGGATAATCTGTGGGTTCATCACTATGAGAAATGCCTTTTATATTACACTAAGTATTTTTTTCATAGTATTTTTTTCCATTATTAATATACAAATATTGACTGTAAATGGGCAGATTTCAAGTCGAGGCAAAAGAGGAAAACTCTCAGAAAACCACATTATCATCAATCATCTTTACAGTATCTCGCAAAACACTTTATATACAGCATGTGAGCACATAAGAATGTGAAAGGTAATACATGTATGTTGTGGTTCTCAAATTCAACAGCAGATGTTAAAAAAAAGGTCTAAAAGACAGTTTGATTCTGAAATTTGCAGAAACCCTGATAGACCTGAACACCTGAGAAAGAAACAATATTCAGAAAATGTACAGCTGTGCCTTTTTGCAAGAGATTGCACTGTTGTTTTTTGTATTTTGCACTGTCAACAAATTCAGTTGCCCTCAAAAATAGTTCTCTCCCATTTATTATATTAGTGTATTGTGTCAAGTACAATATGGTAGCTTTGAATGTGCAGTGAGAGGAAAAAAAAGCAGCGTCGTTCACATTCACCTCAGCATCTCTGTTTTCCACCCCTCCTTTCCTCGTCTGTGCCGGCTCCCTTTGTTGTTGTTGACATTGCGGTGAAACTCAGCAACGTTCATGCGAGACAGACCTGTTTGTTTCTCATTCTGTGGCTCATATTGCGGGGAGGAGGGAGAGAGAGGAGGGGTCGGGGGTTGCTCTTATTTGCCTTCAGTATTTGTTTACTAGTGCAAAAACAGAGGAGTTCTGGGAGAATAGAGACGGGGAGGCATTGAGTCAGCTCCCTCCGTGTCCCCTCTGCTCTCCCTGCTGAGGCTGCTGCTGCTGGCTCCTGTGGCACAGCCCCTCTCCCTGTGTGAACTCTCGGGCAGGCACGCACATTCACAGATACGCCGTCAAACTGGCACTGCAGCCGCGCCTTTGACAGCGGCCGTACTGTCCGATACATACAGACATGAGCAGGTCTGACTCCAGTGTGAACCTCTGAAGTTCACCATTGACGCTGAGTTATTTTTTTTCCTGTTTGGTACAGTTTTGTCTGTTCTGTAACGCCATAAACACACACACCCTGTCCCATGTGGGACCTTGTAAGCCTGTAGTCCTATCTCAGACTCTTCTACAGCAGGGGGCCTTGCACTGTAATCCCCAAGTGCATGTTGGGTAAATATGTGCCCCAAGACATGGAGGCTTCAGAAACTCGTTACGTAAGGCCTTCTTTTTGTTTGACGGAGAGCCAGAGCGAGGGAGATGGGGAAAAAGAGGGGGAAACAAGAAAGTAGAAGAAGCAAAATAAAGTGGAGAGAGTTACTTGGTTTTTCATCCCTGCGTGTGCGACAGGGGAGTGCACACACAGCACTTCTGGAAGTGTGCGCGCTGTGGTGGGAGGAGAGGTGGGAGAGGGAAATTTGGATGTAAGAGAGATGTCAGACAAGGGGCTTGCTTGCCTGGCTCTGTCGCTGCATATTTTAAAGAGGGAATCGGTGTTCCCGAGGTTTGCTTTGCATGACTTAAACATGAGCAGTGTGTGCTCCATTATCTTCTCTGGTCTTCCTTCCTTCCTGTCTTCAATGTTCTGATTTTCATATAAACAGCTTACATGAAGGTTTCTGCTGCTCGTCAGGTTGCTGTGAGCAATTTCCAGCCCACGTTGTCATTTGCTACCCTAATTGTTGGCAAATCACTTGTTATGCAGTAGACCTGTCAGAGATTTATTCAGAGAGAAGATGTAACTTTCATTTAAGATTTTTATATGGCTGCTTTCACAATGTGGTGCCTTTTTTATATTTAATAAAGCCTGCAGTCACATTCTCCGTTTGTGTAAATCTGCTGACAATCTGTGCCAATAAAATGATGGTTCCAATTTCCCTTTTCTAGCACTGAATTTATATCTGTTCACCTACAATTGCATAAGGGACATCTTTAGATGAGATATATATGAAATTCATTTGACACTGGATGTCGCACTGGAGCACCAGCATTTCAGAGCAAAACAATGGGACAGAAATAAAATAACTCACCAAAACCACTTTCCAGTCTTTCCAACAATCACTGACACTGGTTTGGTCAAAATAAACCTTTATTCACTGAGTTAGTGAAAATATAAAATATTTGTGAAAAGTGCTGCAATAAGCTAACATTAATCCTTGGGGACAAATGCGGCCATCAAAGTCCGTCCACTAAAAGTTCTTGTTGCTGCCACTGACAAGCTCAGATTGTTATTCTCAGTGTCTGACAACATTATGGAAAGGATCCCTACAGAGATAAACCTTTTGTTTAACCAGAAACAGCCGTAATATCACTATTGCTCGCCACCAGACAGAGAAACGAAATAAAACTCACTAAAACACTGCTCTACCAACCACCGACTCGGGTTTGGTTGAAGAAAAAAAATCCTTCACCAACGTAGATGACAAAAACAGCAGTTTCAGCCACTCTACTCAACAGACCGGCTATGTAAACAAACCACAGAGAGGCTGTGAAAGCAACACAGGTAAAGGGAGTCTGCTCAGGACACGGTGACTCCACTATATCGTCTGTTTGCTGATACATTTTATTGATTGATTGATTTGTAAACAATATATTTTCTCTCTCTCTCTCTCTCTCTCTCTCTCTCTCTCTCTCTCTATAAATAAATATATTTATATATATATATATAAAAAAAAAAAAAATAAAAAATATAATATATATTATATATAATATATATATAGCATTAATCAATTAATCAAATGACAGTGTGTAATGTGAAAGTTGTCACTCATAGTGACAAAACCACAGAAAATTATCACCAAACTGCAGTTACCCTCAGCTATGTGGACTATTTTAGTATCTTTCAGCCTATTATTTTGGTTTTCCAACTTACAGCTTTAGTCACAGAACAGAAATGAAAGGAGAATGAATATACATTGGCTTGAATCTGTAAGGTCCAACTGAATGCTAATGTTGCTCCTGCTGGATGTGTAAATAGGTTGCTGCTGAAACTGTTTATACACAGGTTGATGTTTTTATCCCTTTTTATTTTTTTCTCTTTTGTTTGTTTTCACTTGGTTGTTAGTTTAAATATTCATTAAATATGCAATTAAAGGCACCTTTAAAAAAAAAAAACATTAAATAAAGATATTTGCTGCTACAGCCTTACTTGGTCAGGTATGAGCAGTTGGTTTTTAGTGGCTAATGTCAGCAAACTTTGAGTAGATATTTCTTTGTAAGTGAATGTTAGTTTTAATTCAGTAAAACATTGTGTGTCATTATCCTGTAGGTGGCCACATGGCTCGCAGAACAAGCTGCATTATTGATTAATGATAATCCAAATAAAAAGAGCCAGAGACCAAAGTGATTCTCTTCTGTTTTCTCTCATGCAGATGTCATACTGGGGACATGAAGGTGAGCCCAGTTTCCTCAGGAAGGCCTTAATCCTCAGTGACTCTTACACCTGATCGTGGACCATCCTCCTTCCTGTTTGCAAATCAGCTGGATTATCTTGGCCTGTCGCAGAACATCGTCCCCTCACTGGTGTCTTTGGCTTCTCTTCTCCAGAATCACATGGGACTGCCTAGGTGTAAACAAAGTAGCAAAGTCTAACTAGAAGACAGATTGATGTAGGGAAATGCATAGGAAGGTAACATGGGTGATATGGGATGGAGCAGATATCAATAGCACTACGCTGTGTGGCTCAGTAGCTTTCTGTACTCTCTTACTGTCTTTGGGCTCTGTCTCTGTCCGTCTTTCTCTTTCAGATTCTCCCTGCCTGTCTCACTCTCAGCCCGCTGTTCCCACTTAATCTCTGCTCAGACACATGGCACTGACCCTGAAGCATAACTCTGCTCCAAGTCCTTGGCTTATAGTACAGGCACAAGAACATCAAGACAGCGATAATGCAACAGCCTTGACATATTCATTGTCCCAGTTACACCTCATGACTGGTATAGTACATGTGTAAATGCTGTTTAAAAATGTTATTGTGCCAGAACAAAATTGAAAAAGCTGGTAGATCAGTGATAATGTGTTCAGTGGCTGGTACAGTTTGAATATTCACTAGCCATTTGGCCTGTGGACAAAAAACTTAAAGGTGCTGTAAGTGTAAGGTGCATTTTGGCTAACTTTCTGTCCGTTCAGTCCCCTCCCTACTCCCCCACGAAACAATTTTGTGAAGTGTGAACGGGCCTCCTGAACATGTATTCTCCGTTTACTGCAGAAAGGAGGGACTGAGGGACCCATGTCACTGCCATAAGACTCTATATCAGTAATTGCTGTCAGGATGTAGAGCTATTTAACACTTACCTTAACACTAAAATATTGCCTACAGCACCTTTAACTGGTACCCTACCCGTATGAGTACTGTATTAAGGTCCAACTGAAATATCTAGAGAACACAGGTCTGCTCCATAAATTAGATTTCCTGTCAGTTGGCAAAAGGGAGAAATTAAAATTTTACGTTAGCTTTCCTTCTATAAGCATGGACACGTCTGGTGTTGCACCTTAGCTTGCTACATTAAGTAACAAAGTAACACACGTCATGGGAAACGTGCACTGTTTGCCGGCTAGATAGCTAATTAGCTAGTTAGCTGAACAGCTTATAAATGCACCTGCAAATTTCAACATTGGACAGTTTAGATGATGTTAAATGTTGCGGACCTTCCCTTTCAGTTCCATTGCTAACAAAAGGCTGTCTGTCCTCGTCTTGTAAACTAGTTAACCGTTTGTCTGTTTACATTGTCTCTGTGGTTGTTAGTCTGCAAGGAGCATTTTAGATACTCTCTAAAACATTTTTCTTCCTCTCAGTGTTCAAAAGAATATTAGCGAAACAATTAAAAACCACTTCAACATTATCTTCAATTGCAAAATCTGATGACTTAATTGTGATTTCAGTTGGACCTTAAAATCCCTGAAGATTACCTGCATGTCTCTCATTTAGTCTCCCCACCAGACCCACACTGAGGAACTGATCGTTTGACTGCAGGGAGGATGAGTGCCATACTGCTTGCTTCAGCTGTGGTCGATTTTACATCTAGGATCAAGTAGCTTCGGCTCAGTGACTTCGAGTCTGTTTGTATCAATAACATGTACTCTGCCTCCGTGGAGATGGCCGACGGCGCTCTACTATCATTGAACACTGACACCAGTGTGGCTGGGCAGACTTTGGCCTCACAGAAACACATCTGTTTCTTAATGTTTTTGATTGTGACACTGTCCTGCTGTCCCTTGACAGATCTGAATGTACATTTTGTTGGCATTTTATAAAGCTGTTAATAGAGAAAATAATCCATGCAGTGTTTCTTGTGTGTTTTTCCACTTTTTTTTTTATCTGATGCAAAAGCAGGGATACTTGTCCTTATTTCTCCTTCCAGCATCACCACCTGGTCCGTCTCTATCGTCCCAACTTTAGCTCTTAAGCTTTTTTTTTAGTTCAGCAAGCTATTCCTGGCCAACCATGCAATATCCCCCCAACCCCTTTCTCTCTCCCTCCAGTGGTGCTGAGCTGAGGTTTCTCCATGTTGTGGTGTAGAGCAGCAGGAGAGGGAGAGGAGCTGCTGTAGCCCAGACTTGGGAGCTCTCGGAGAGGGAAGACAATGACCCAAATATGTCCGCTAGCTAGCTAGCCTTGGTACTGCTTCAAACTGGGCTAGAACTGCAGCTCTCCTCTGCAATGACTGCATTGTGATCTCAATGCCAGACAGGCTTTACAGTAAGAGGGGAGGAAGCAGGCCACGGGGCCTTCGATTATTGATTGTACTGTACCAAACCTCTGAGAGGGCTGCCATCGATCGCAGCTGGAACGGGGTGTGAACAGGGAGTGTTGAGTGGGGCAGATGTTGGAGGTTTGTCTATCTGCGGAATCACCTGGGTATTTCAAACCAACATGGCTGTTTGTGTGTCCATGCGTGGACACCCCGGGCTGCGGGGCAGGGCAGTGGGCGCGGTGTCAGTCGGACATGGGAAAGTGGGTTAAATTCCAGGCATTCTCTTACATCTGAAACCACACTGTGTCTGGTTAGTCTTCTCTACAACTTATCTTACATCTTGTGTGTGTTTGTGAGAGTCCTTTGCCAAGCCCACTGGCTATGGAAAAACAATTTAACTGGATTTAATTTGTTGCCCCCCCCCTCCTCCTTCCTCTTCCCTCATTCCCCTTGCGTTTTTCTTTTTTTTTCTCTTTTGTGTGCCTCTGAGAGGTTGGGAATTCATCTTGTTTGGTAATTCCATGCCCTGTCCAAGCTCACGTTGCAAGTTAGACAAGCCAGGTTTCATGGCAGCCCTAATGTCTCAGTCATGGTGGACTGTCACTAGAGTTTGCTTTGCCATATGTGATGCTAAAAACTGGCAGTATCTTATTTGGGGGAAAAATAATAGTATTTGGATTAAACATGGATTATTTTTCTTCAAAATATGTTTACAGCTCTCAGTCACATCTCTTGCTTTCCCCTCTTTTTCTTGTCTTTAATTTTATCAGTCTAAGCTGCTCTAAAGGGTTAAAAAAGCACAATGAAACCAGTTGCCTAGAGCCCTGACCACTTTTTCCATTCTTGCTGGAAAGTTTCCAGTGCTATTTATATGAAACCTCAGGCCCGACAATCAAGAAACCCACTTGGCCGGGATAAAGTATTATCCATTATCCTAAAGTTCTGTTTCACCCAAATTGTTACACAGAGACATCAGAAATGGCAGACACACACAGAAATCTCTGCTCCATCTCTGCTTTGCAGACACAGATATGCAGTGAGTGAGTAGACAACATGTACAAGCAGGCACAAGTGAAATCAATCCATATGACCTAACTACTATTGTGTAACCAAAGAAAATACTACATCTAATCTGTCCTGGCCTTGATGAATGATTTGCTGCAGCGAGGGTCCAAATTCCTGAAGAGAAACAGAACCGGTCTTTATCCATGTTCATAGGGAATGACACTCACTTTTGGCTGAGATGCTGACATATTTTAGACTAATAACATTATTATTGTTAATGTCTATAGAAGAGTAGTGTTTGGCTGCTGCCCACAGGATTCGTGTATGTTTGAGCCTGTGAGTGGTACCAGTCCAAAACAACTAGGAAGGTTATTAGAAAGCCAGTGCAGCTTCACAAACCAAACTTTATTTTGATATTCAGCAGTACAGCATGCAATTTCCTTCAAGTACAGGCTGCTGCACTGTACATCAATAAAAGACATTCCCAGAAGAGGGCAGTGAAAGGCACACATCTTGTTTTCACCTTAACCAAACAAACAATTTCCAATTCTGATCTCCACCTACTTTCATTTCATTTGATTCAAACACACTTTTTTTTTATTGAGCTTTTATGTCAAATACACAATATGTCAAGCTATGAACCATATTTAACAACACAGATCTGATCCCAAGTCAAAAAAAGCACAGTGGACAATATGTGTGTGCTAAAGACATGCTTTAATGAAATTTTCTAAATTTCTACTGACATTATATTTCCTATATCTTTTGGTACTGGTATTACACTATTTTGTAATTATATTTTAAAAATGTTAAGTGAGGTTGTGTATCTGAACGACATTGAAATACATTATTATTACATTATTTGAGTAGTTGTGAATTCAGTTGTACCTAAAGTATCCAGACATTATAACTGTAAAAGGTGTTGCCCGTAGTAACAAATAGACACCCTACAGTTCCCCTCAGCTCTACAGGCCGTTTTAGCATCTCTCAGCTCATTGTTATATTTGCGGCGGTTTTGGTTCGGTCTCACCGGCCTCGTCAACCTTGTCCTGCCCTGCTGCAGCAGGCAGCCATTTTCAGTGAAAAGGCTCAGACCAGAACCCTCTGTACACATCAACTAGCCAGCACCAGACAGCAGACAAAGTTAGCACCCAGCTGGTGAACATGGTAGAGCATTTTATTAACAGCTAGAGGTAAATATTGAGAGTAAATATTGGACTTACATATACCGGGTGGCCAGTAACACAGCTCCAAATGAATGCTGCTTTGTGTCTGTTTGCTAACACGTTCACCCCGTCAACTTTATGAGGTGATAAAAGGTCATTGTTGTGTTTACAGCTTGTTGCACTGGCCCTACATGGCCAAAGAATCTAGAATAGACCTTTTTCACAGCAGCCATTTTGACATGAAATAGTAGGGTAAACACAGGTGTTACTCAGTGTCTGAAATGGGCAGGTAGGTACCGGTACTGAGTGCTGGCGATTCTGCTTCTTGTCCACATGAGTACCTGTACTACTTCATTGAGTACCGCCACCTTTGTTGAGCATGGCTGTACCCAGCGCTGAGGTCCAGGGGGTATCGACCCCAGTATTTTTTCCGAGGTGTATAAATAAATATTAAAAGTCGTGAAACAATTGCCTAAAAATAATTACTTTGATGCCCCAAAAACCTTCCAGTAAGTTCAGTTTTTGGACCTTGGTATTTCTAAAACCCTGCGTACAGTAATGCTGGCAGTTACGCTAGCTAGATTTACACTTCGAAAACAACACTGGAAATGTCCTTGTTAAAAAGGATAAAAAAAGAACTAGGGTTCGGGTTGTGTTGAATTTGGGTTTTGTGCTCCCTTTCGGGCACTGGCATTACCAATGACACACACAAGTCTGTTTGAGCTGAATGGAATTGAACCTTAATTAGTATCACTGGTAACACCTGTGTTTACCCCACTACGTCATGTCAAAATGGCTGCCGTGGAAAAGGTCTGTGATGCAGCTTTAATGGGCAACCTTAACTTTGACAGCACATGAAATATAAAGTAAAAATACCAGAAAGTGGGCGATAGTGTCATATGGGTAGGAGTGTACTCCAGCTCTCACATGCTACAATGCTTCCTCCAGTGTGAGCACCTGTACTGATTTCTGACCTGGGATTTACTTTAGTCGATGTGCGTACATGCCCACGCGCACCCTCTCCCTCCCTCCTCTCTCTCTCTCTCTCTCTCTGGGTGTCTCTCTCCCTCAACACTCAGCAGACGGACGCATCCATGGAGGGCTCGTGCAGCAGTCCTCTGCCTTACTACTTCCGAAACCACATCTCAACATGACATAAGAAGCTAAACCCGCCTCTTCCAGCCAGAAGCTCGCCGGTTTTTTTGCCAAGCAGCCCTCGCAGCATCCCAGCGGTACCAATTCCAACTTTTTTTTTTTTAACATCCCCCCCCACCCCCCCGCTCCTCTGAAACCCCTCCCCTGCACTTTTTCATCCATTCCCGGGAGATAAGTGAGTTTCCTGGGGATTACAGGAGGTTGCTCGTTTCTTTCTTTCTTCTTTTTTTTTTTTTTTTTTTTTTTTTGGACTTCGGGGATCCGCATGGATGTGGCAGCGGTAGAGGGGATGTCTCTGCCGGGTATCCGACTCCGGAATCGGCCGACGCAAGTGATGCCGAACCAGAAGAAGGTCAGAGCGAGACGGAAAAAACGAAAGGAGTTGGTTTTAATCCAGATATGCTTGTTCGGCGGCTTGCTCCTGGTCGTGAAGGGGTTTTCCTACTTAGCGGAAAATTCAGGTGAGGATTTGTTGTTCGGGATGCCGGAGAAGGAGAGCTGAACCCCTCCAGCTGACAGCCTGTTTGTTTCAGTACTGTACATGTTTGCTCCTCTAACACCGAACACAGCTCTAAAGTACAGAGGCATTAACATTAGCGTAGCTGCATCTTCCTGTTAAAAGAAGTAAGTTCAGTGTTATTCTTGAGTTGCCTACAGGGACTTATTGTGTGGCACATTTACTCAATTTCTAAATGAACTGTATGATTAAGGCTTCTTCCATTCTGTTCCTATGGGGACTGAAAGCTTTGTTCTGGAATAATCATCTCTAAGTTAGCCTATGTGTTTGGATCCAGGGTTGCAGAGGTATGAGGTGTTCACAGTAAGATAACCCTCTCAGAATATCACGGTTTCACGGTATTACACAGTTATTGTTATTATCAGTTACAGTTCCCTTCAAAGGAATGAAAACAATGTCTTTTTAATTGAGCAAACTATTATAATTTTACAAAATATTATGTATTTTTTTTTTTGTTTTTTTACTAAACTTTAGAATTCAATACCATAGATAAGTATAATGTACAAGGTATTATTAAGGCTGATTATTAGGGCCAGATTCATTAAGGCTGTGCATTGGCATGAATCTGGCCATACGATACGTATCACGATACAGGGGTTAAATTCAGTATATTGTGATACATTGCAGTACTGTAAGCAAAGGGATATATTGCAATTCTTTACAAATTTGAACCCAATATTAGGGTAACGGTCATAGTATAAAAAACACACCACCATATGCATAAAATCTGGGTTAGAAAAAGTTTACTTTTCTGCAGATCTGCATTTGTATTTATCACAATCCCTTTATCATCAACATCATAGCCCTCAGTTTACAACACTGCTATCTAGTGGTTGAGGGTTTAAATCGATACATTATCATAAAACAAAATATTGTGATACAGTATTCTTCGAAATTCTTCATACACCTACCTACATACCTAGTACTATCAAGTTTCATAGCACACACATACCATGGTATTGGTATAGAACCCTGTAGGGAACATTAGCATATCCCACAAGTGTCAGGGGCGGATTTAGAGGAATATTCATGGGGTGAGCAGTGGGTGGCAGAAATCTATGCTGACTTAATCACAAACAATCACATATATCAATACTTGCTTAATTGGAAAAGCCCCAAAATGAAGATATTTGAACTCAAAAACATTACATTATTGTGCCACATTAATAAAGCATTGAATAGAAATATAGAAAGGTGGCATTAGACATCAGTACATTGACAAATCTTTCCAAATGTGTGTCTTTTTTCATTGAACTTAAGCCTAGCACTTAGTCAAAAATGTGGTCATTAAATTAATTTCAAACCAAAAAGTTAAAGAGAGTTACACCCTCATAACCATTAGCCTCAGTTTGACCTGAAAAATCTGCTGTCATACAGGTACACAGGAGGCTATATTGGGAATTCATATGAGCTTTAACTATGGGAAACTATTCAGGGCTGAGGGATGCAGAGGCTGCTGTATGTTCAGGTGTTTTAGCTGCAGAGTGGTGAAATCAGGGCAATGAGCCCCAGGGTATAGGCCTATACACCTCTCCAGGTTACTGCAAATGGTTCCACATTCAGTGTCTCTTTCACTCTCTAACTTTGTTTCCGTGCTGCACTGGCATGTTAGTTAACCGACTGCCAAAGAACCCAAATGCAATCAGATGAAACCCTGATAATAAATAAGTGCATTTACTTCCTAACATCAAACATCTGTAGCACTTGACTTGATGTCTGCGTGTTCCTCTCTTTCTCTTTTTATCTCTCTTTGACTGTGCCCCCAACACTTCACTTAATTACTGAGTCAGCGTCAGCTAAAGTGAGATGCATTTATCACTTTCCACGGACAGAAGGCCTGCATGAATATTCATACTCTCATGATTTGTGCATCATCAGTGGGACTAATTTTTTCTCTTCTTTCCTCCCCACTGCGTATCCTGGTTACATGGAAATGCAACAGTGCCGCTCTCTGCATGTGCCCAAAATTAGAGGTGAACAAGAGACGGCGCCAGGGCGTTTAATGCATTTCCCTTGTCCCCATTGTGTTCTTGTTAACTCTTAATCAGCTTGCCGGAATATCAATTAAAGTTGATTATTTATGATGCGCTTAATGAAGTTCTGCTAAATTGAGCTTGATGTTGTGGAGCTGGAAGCGGGGCACTCAACGCCTCCTCACAGTGGCACATTAATCATTCCCACACTCCTCTTCTTCTGTGCAAGATAGCGAAAGATAGGAGGAAGGAGGCAGCGGTAGAGAGCTGGCACGCAAACCTCAGTGCTGCTGCTGCTGCTGTTGTTAGCTGCTGTGTGTGGTGTAGTGAAGGTGAGGCCAGGTGAGAAGTTCAGCCATGCCCTCAGGACTATTGAATAACTGGGGTTTTTAATTCTATCTGAATCCCTCTCTTAGGCCAGACTTGTGGTTGGCAGGGTGGAAAGGGCAGAGTGCTCCTGCTGGGCTCTCTGAAGTATGAAATGAATTCATTGGTGTTGCTGCTCTCTTGAAGAATGTGCAGATGTAGCCACAGTGGGAGCCCCACTTTGTGTGCGCTGCGCAGTTGCTCCACCCCCCGAGAGGATTTTGTTTTGGAAAATCATGAAATTCCCCTTCAATGTATGAATTGGTGTGGGGAGGAGGGGAGATACCAAACTGACACATCTGTGGTGCACTCCTCCAGCTGTTCACTACTATTATATAAAGCATCAAACTTTAATGTGACAGAGAAGACTGAGCATTAAAAATACAGCAAATTGCTTGACACACACTTTGCTACCTGCAACATCTCAGCAACACAAACATGTAAGTTATACATAGAGGCCCAGTTTATGACATTAAAAGTAACTGATGATACCGTAAATGTGCTGAAATATATTATAGCTGAAACTACCAGTATCAGTAGTCCATTGACAGAAAACCACTTTGATAATCGATGAAGTATATCAGTAAAGCAAAAAACACTAAACATTCTGTAGTGTCAGTCTCTCCAATAAGAGGGCTTACTGCTTGTCTCTGTTTTATATCATTTTAAAATGAATATCTTTGGTTTTTGGACCATTTGTCAGACAAAAGAAGACGTCTGAAGACGTCACTTTAAGGTCTGAGGAACTTTGATGGGTATTTTTTCACCATTTTTGGACGTTTCTTAAACTAAAGAATTACTTGAGTAATCAAGAACATAGCGAGCAGGTAAATCAATAATGAAAAATAAATGAGTTGCAGCCCTTAAATATACTGTATGTACTAATCTTTGTCTTTTGTCCAAAGAGATATGATTGATCAGTCATTGGTCTTCATAGGTGTGATTAGCTGGCAGAGCCTTGTGTTGTACATCAAATGTCCCTTTGCATTAGGACTGTGTATTGAACCTCTTTGGTCACTAGCAAAAATGTATTGTCCTTGTAAAAAATGTGTCCTTGTAGCTTAAACTGTTAATCTCCACTGAATGTGTGCTCAGATTCATGCTCTTCTCTAAGGCCCCTGTAGACTTCGATATTGGCCTGTCACAGGCAAAATTTAACAATTGTAAGAGAAATGTACGAAGCGTTTAATGTAGATAGATTGCTTAATTATCTGGAATTTTGAGACAATCAGCATTGGCTGATGCCTGTGTTCATGAGGCCAATGAACGAAAATGTCTGCAGACGCATCAGAAGGCAGATCTGTCAGTGTGGCTGCTGTGGAACTGTGTTAGCGTTCCTTCTTGTGAGTTTTGGGAAGGTGGTGAAAACGTTAGCTTGGAGCCCCGGATTTTAACTCTGATGTTCCTGCTCCATCCTCAGTCATCATTATCTTTTTCGAAATGACAGCAGATCATATCTAAAACATTGCATAGCATTGTCTATGTGTATTATGGTATAATAATGCAGTTGAATGACGTTGCTTCTAACATACTGTACCCCGCTCTCCCTGAAATACCAGTCATGTTCTGAAGTCTGCAGCATAAACAATGTATTTTTCTGTTTCATGAATTAATAAAAACTCCATCTAACACAACACGTTACTGGCTAAGATAACCGTGTATATTAGACTGTAATGTGCATGGAATAATGGAATTATAGAGTTTTCTTTATTTTGATACCGGCCATCGGTCGCCCTGCTCTCTAGATATCTGCATTAGCTATTGAAAAACCTGTATCAGCCACTTGTTTGTTGAGCTGTAACGATAAGTTATTTCTTTAATTCATTTAGCAAATATTTCTACCATAAATGCCAAATGTGAATTTTTACAGATTTTCTGTTATGTCTAATATGTTGGAAAAGTGAATATCATTTCTTTTTCTAGCTTATCTTTCAGTATTTGCTGGCACAAAATGAATCAAACAACGAATCGGGAGATTAATCGAGAATAATTAAACAGTCGTTTGTTGCAGCCCCACACGGTGGCTAATATAGAGCCTAGAGGCCCAAGGTGTTAATATAAGATACACAAAGTACTCAAATACACAAAAATACAACAATAAAATACAGATATTCAGATGTTTGTCATTTTTAGACTTTTTTATCTGTGCATTCTTATATTCCTCAAAGTAATTGAAAAAAGTCAGACATCATTTCACAGTCTCAGGCTCGATCTTTTGTGTGTGAGAGCACCCCATCCAGATGTCGTAGCTGCACTGAAACTTCCCTGAATCACATTTTGAAAGTCGACTCCTGACTGTGACAAACACCTTGCAGGTTTGGATGTCTCCGGCCGCAGCAGCGAGGACCAGGAGAGATGGGGAGGGAGGAGGCTACTGCAGGAAATGGACAACAGCAGCCTGGAGGAGATGGAGAGCGAAGAATCTAAGAACTGCACTACACCAGGTAAGACGGAAAGCAGGAGGAAAGAAAGAGGACACCCAAGTGTTCTCCCCCTCCCTCCCTCATTCCCTCCCTCCAGAACAGAGAGAGGGGGACCGGGGAAACAAATGATCACCACACATGTCTTTCACCCCACATGTTCTGTCTTTCACCCCACATGCTCTGTCTTTCTACCCTCTCTGGTTCCCCCTGCTTTCACTTCCTGATGTGGGGTAACCCAGATTGTGAGGTCAGATGATTTCCCATGAGCACAGGCTACAGCAGGCGGTGACATTCTGGCTGCCTCAGCGCTTTTTTTACTCCTGTTCTCCGTCACATTTTTTTTTTTAGGATCCTGCAGGTTTCACTCTCACTCCCTCCACCCAGCTCTCCCTCTCCGTCTCGCACCAACTCTCTTTTCATCTCTTCCATTCTCTTCTTCTGTGTTTCCCTCCTATTTTTCCCCCATGGTGGCCACATCTCAGAAAAACTATCCCTGTTTCCATGGCGACCTTTTATCTTATCATCAACCAGCGACTTCGGTTTGAGGCACTCAAGGATAGTGGGCGAGGATGCTGAAGGCATTTTATTAGACTTCTTGTTTGTGAAGTTTAAAATCACTCAGTCCAAATAAACGGGCTGAAATCAGACCACGTGTAGGTGACCTTAAAACAGAAAAAAAATCGTTAACGTCATATAAAACCATGTCTTGTGGTGTAATCCAGCCTGTTTCCCATTGGACCAATCCTCACACGTGCATGGACTTTCACCATCACCAGTATCTGTTGCTATTTTTAGTGGATGGAAGAAAATTTGATGTTCACTCCTGTTATAATTGATGTGTCCGAGGTAGGTGGAGGGAGGTTTTTTTACCTTGACTGGGAGACGATTGGCCTCCATTCAGAGGGAGGGGCGGTACTCTTGTGAGCTCATTAAGCAAAATGGCCGTCATCAATCTCCTCTCTCACACTCCCAAGGTCGCTGCTGTCATCTATAAAGGGAGCTGAGGTCAAAGTTCAACTTATTCTCTTACCCTGCTTATTATACAGTGGCTGCACTCTCCTCTGCTCATGCTAAATTTAAAGCACGTACCCCGGTGGCTTCAGCCCCTGCCACCCTCTTGAGGACTGCAAGGTTTATGCTAAAAAAAAACCCCCTATATTTTCTGAAAGTCTTGGCCCGCTCTGGTGATTTCTGCTCCTGTGTCTGGCTTGAGACACATAAAACGTTCCCTTGTGGTGATTTAGTGAGTCACTCTTCATTTGACCTTTGAGAGGGAAGCGTGTTTTAAAAAAGCGGCAGATGTTTTAATGGAAGGATGTGGAAGCAGTATGCATGGGCTTCAGGGTACATGCATGTGCAGTTTGTTGGTTATGTTTAGGGATGAAACAAGTTTTTTTTTTTTTCCATGATCAAAAAAATGATTTAATCTATATAATTTGAGAGAATAGTAAATAATTTGCTGTAGCAATTTGGCAGTAATACTGCATAAGTGAAAAAAGTTGTATAAAGCCTTTTGTGTCTCTAGTGATGTCTAAATTGCCTTAAGTGATGTCACTTGAGTCAGTGTCAGTTGGGGTGTTCTGTTGGTGTTGAGTTCATTTGAGCTAATGGCTCCAGGCTACATTAGCTACTACTAGCATGATTCTCCAACCAAACTGTTGGTGGTTAAGTTGCATTATGGGCAATGTAGGCACCAGGTTTGGACAAACTGATATTTTTACTTGATGATGGCAGTAGAGAGTAAAAAGTTAAGAGTTCCATAAGACATTTCATGATTGATTTATTGATTTCATTGTAGAGACCAGGCTATATTTGTACTGGTATCGGCTAAAATAAAGCCAATTATGAATACTGATCCTTTCTTTACTGTAGTGTACTGTGTTGTGTCCACCTCAGCCTGCTAGTGTCGCAAACCTGCTGTGAATGAGAGTGATAATGTGAAAAAACTCTGACTCACTAAGCTCCAACGCTGACAAATCACTTCTGATTTTTAACTGGTTAAAATGGTGCCATTAAACAGGACAATATCAAATGTGTCTGTTGTCAAATTATAGTGCTCTCTGCATGCTGATGCTCAGCCAAAGATCATTTGTGATCTCTGTTACACCACTGTACAATCACAATGTACTTCCCACTTATTTTGTTCCATTATGATGCTATAATTGTTTTATGGCCTGGCTGAACACTTTGTCAGAGTACGGCCGGTCATGACTTTGCTATGCTGGAGAACACGCTGCTAGCAGGATCTGTTATGGAGCTAATGAATTAAGTGGTATCTAATTGAATCACAGACACGTGTTATCGCCAGTACCCAATACTGCATTATGGGCAAAATCTGAGGAATTTCCTAAATGGCATCAGTATTAGAACAACTCTAGTTCCTGCAGCAGCAACAGAGTGATACCTCATTTCTTGTAAGACAATCAGCTAATCGTTATAATTTCAGGAGATGAATTATCCTGTTCAACCTGCATTCATATCATGGCTCAAGCTTGTGAAAAATAAGCTCTGCCAAATTCAGCTATTTCAGTGTGCCAGATAGCCTGAATATTTAACCAACATTTAAGTCAATAAAAGATCAGATCAGACTTGTGTTTTGGGCCAAAATACCTTACTATGAGATACCTACTGAAAAACAAAAATGTCTACCTCATGGTGGCACCAAAGTCAGCAATTCATCCAATATTTTTTTTATATTTCGGCCTGGACCAGAGCAGTTGACCGATCAACCAGCAGACAACCAGGGTGCGAACTACAGGGGAGCCAGCGGGAGCTTGGCTCCTCTCTCCTCAGTATATGAGTCTCCAAAACAGAATGCTTTTTTGCAATGCACTCCTATCTTTCTGTATCATGGATGTAAATGAGGCTGTTATTGATGTATGATTCATGCATGAGGGTGATCTAATCACCACTGAAGCGTAGTGGTGCAATGTCATCAACTTCACTCACTTTAACTCAAAGATCAGTAAAAACAAACATTCTTACTATCAGTCTGTGCACTGAATCGCCATTATTCATTGTTCTCTGCACCGAGTCAGTTGGCCCCCCCATAACCTAAGAAAAAGTGAGCTAAAGCCATGTTATAGTTTGCACACACTAGTAATAAAGTTTAAATTATTAATTGATTATCAACATTATTTTTTATTACATCTCCATTGGCTAATCATCTTGTCAACTGGTTATATGTCTTATTATGGCGGCACAATAAATGGAAATATTATTGAAATGGTCAATGCAACTTTTTTGATAAAGGTAACATTTGTGGCGAAACAGCATTATAATGAAGTACTGCGTTTCTGCAGAGATGCCCTGACCTACAAATCAATTCTCCAGATTTAAGAAAACACAAAAAAGACGATTCCCACTCATCGTGAATCATATCATAATCACAATATGGCAAATAATTCCAATATGATTTTTTTTACCATATCGTGCAGCCCTATGTGTGATCGCGTAGTACACAACAGATTGCTTGTGTGTGTCCCCAGCTTGCCAGTCACAGAGTAGAGCACTGGCTGATTGGGAAGTATCCCAACATGAGCTCTATGTTCTGGAAGGATGCAGCACGGCGCAGGCATTCACTGATTGTTGCCTGAAATTAGAGGCCCGCTGATCAAGTGCTCCAAAGACGAGGGAGAGAGACAGCGAGAGTGAGAGAGACAGAGGGAAAGAGAGAGGCTCTCATTTGCTAATTTTCCCCCTCCCAGCCACACATGAAAAAAGCCATCACACCCATCATTACGTCTCCCTCCCTGATTTTAATTGTGAGGACCCCGCCGCTTCTATTGATTTCAGACACTTGTTTAGTCACCCCCCCACTCCCTCACCATATTTTTTCAGTTAAGGGAAAAAGAGGGGAAGACAGCACAGGCAGTAGTTGGTGGTTATGGTTGAGAATGGTTACATCTTACTAACTTCAGTCCTTATTTTCTCTGTTCCCTTGAGGTTTACAAATAGCTGAAAACGAGACTTTCCTGGCTAGAAAAGAGTTTGTGAGTTCACATGCTGTATATATGTGTGTGTGTGTGTGTGTGTGTGTGTGTGTGTGTGTGTGTGTGTGTGTGTGTGTGTGTGTGTGTGTGTGTGTGGCCTTGTCAGTGTGTGTGAAGGTGAATATAAGCAAGCGTATACAAAAAGAGTCCTCTCTGTTCTGCTCTTGACCTTCCTTTTATCATGGAAAACCGGAGTTGATGACTCTGCTGCCCAGATCTAGTGTGCAAGGCCACACTGTACACGTTTAAGGTGGAAAATAAGAAAAATCCATTACTTCTGAAGATGTCTGAGCAATGGGGAGATTAGTTGTACAGTAGTTTTCATCTGTGGTAAAGCTGGTACATGGCCATACACACACACACACACACACCCACACACTCTTTCTTCCTCCTCCATCAGTTTCATACGAACACAAATACAACAAACAGACCCGATACATCTTTTTTCTATCAGCAAACACAGGTGGTTATTGTAACCCCCTGAGCCGCTCTGTGTACAGTAGTATTGGCTGTGTGATTAGACAGATAGCGGTCTGGGTACCCCGTACATGTGACTGCTCTCTCTAGGGGTCTTTCCCCGGAGGCTCTCCTTCTCCTCCGTTATTAAACATCCTCTCAGCTCGGCTCAGCTCAGCTCCGACGCAACACTCCATTTTAGGAAAGGAGGCTGCTATGACTTAATCAGGGCTTCCCTGTGAGAAATGTGGTTTGTGTGCGCGCATGCGTGTGTCTGCAAGTCAGACCGAGTTGAGCCTCGTTATGAACAGTATTGATAAATGTGAGGGTGCTGGCCCTGGTTTCTACAGCGAGTAGGAGTGTGTGTGCCATCATGCTTGCCTCACTTCACATGGGCAGCCTCCCTCCGGCTCCTTCACTTGTGCCAGAGGCAAGTAAGTAAGCATAACCATAATATAGCTGATGAATTAATCAAATCAGAAAAAATGATCACTCTCTAATACCTCGACAATAGACCTCCACTAATAAAATGCTAAATTGACCCAGGGAGCTCCCAGAATGATTTCCTCTGAG